ACCACTTTGCCCTATGAGTTCGGATCCTAATGACTTAGAAGTATTAACCCCGGGTCATTTTATTATTGGCCAGCCTTTAGTAGCTGTTCCGGAATATCCTTTTGAGGACGTTAATTTAAATCGGTTATCTCGATTCCAACAACTCCAAAAGCTAACGCAACACTTCTGGTCAAGATGGCGCGATGAATATTTACATACGCTACAACAACGAAAAAAGTGGACCTCTCATACGGATTCCCTTAAGATTGATGACTTAGTTTTAATAAAAGAGGACAATTACCCATCCTTGCAGTGGAAACGCGGTCGGATTGTTAGACTTTTACCTGGTTCGGATTCGGTTAACCGTGTTGCTGAAGTTAGGACACGCAGTAGTACGTTTCTTCGACCTGTGTCCAAGCTCTGTCGACTGCCCTTGTAGGTTAATGTTATGCCATATCATTTCGGGGGGGGAGGGTATGTACACGCACATCATGACGCTTCCCGGTATGAATTTGCGCGCCTTGACTGTGGCGCGCATCATTGGTGCGTAAGACAAAGCGGCGTGCCTGCGCGCCGGCCAATCAGCAAACCAGCCCCTAACAAGGGATATACTGGGTTTTTCCCGGATGTAACGGGCATCGGCATCGGGGGCGCTCTACGGCTTCGGAACGACCACTTCGGCACGGTTGCTTTAAGCGGACGGACGGACCGGCTCCCTGGTGTAACGGTGATACAGCGAGGACCACGGGGCCTCCAAACACAAGCGGCTATTTGCACGGTTTCGCCAGCTCAAGCCCCTCTATCACAGCAAAGGTAAGCGCACTTTTCTTACTGGGAACATGATTGTGTGTGTGTACCTCGGATAAAACCTATCTCTGTCTCACCTACTAGCCCTATCGGTATACAACAAGTCCACTATAATCTACGGCGGTCGCAGTAAGTCATTAAACGGAACATATAAATTGATACCTTATTTAACTAAAAAACATTTGTAGATAATTTTCATGACTCAGAAACATTAATAAATCGATGCTGTCACTTTTTTTGCGATACCAATAGAAAAAGACAACACGTCCCTCTGACAATTAAATTTTAATTTAATATGCGGCCCAGGGAGGCGATTAACAGTAATTTTGCTAGGGTCAAATAGAATGGTATTTTTTTTGAACAATTGTTAAAACACACGTTTGGTTATCACTTCTGACATTGGCAGTACCCAATTAGCAGTGCAAAGAATAGATTTACAGATAGAAATCTAAATTCTGAGTGCTCTATGTCCTTAGAAATAGAGTACAATGTGTGAAAGATGCCAATATGTAACGATTAAAGTAGCAATACGGTTTACGAACTGCGCTGAACAGTGTGACCGTTTAAAAAAAGGTGATCTACTACATACATAATGTTCTCAGTACTAAATAATACCAAAGCTGGATTATACTAAAAATATACTGAAACTAATTTTCCCCGCTGGATCGTGAAAGAAGGACAAACAAACAAACACTTACGTTAAAATTGTATATATTATCATTTTAAACAATAAAATTATATTTACACATATGAATTATTCTAAATAGTCAATATTGGACGAGTTTTTTTTAACATGTCTTTCGGTGGGTCAAATGAGACACAATTTTCATTTAGACCTTGTTTTACATATAAAATGCTCGCAATATGTTTAGATATAAATCTGTTTCTATAGTTTGTTTTAACAATATTTACTTTTGAAAAAATTCTTTCGCATTCAGCGTTAGAAATGGGTATGCACATTAGACATTTAACAAAGTTAGTCAAATTTTTGTATTTAGGGACGTTCCTACTATCAAGAAAATGACTCAGTTTGTCCCAAAACTGTTCTACATTTACAGCTGCCCTTGTACTACTACTGGAACCACACATTAAGTTTTGTACTTCGGAATCGTATTTAATTTGACGATATTCCTCATCAATCAATTGTTTTGTGGTATCATTTGTTATGATGTTTGGAAACCTATTCATAATGCTGATTAGCGATGTAAAATGTTCATAAGCCGCTACTTGTGGATCTATGAACCGTAACTCGGAAAATATTTTTTCATGAATGGGATATCTCTCCATCACGTGTATAGCGCTGTCCCGCATGCTGGATCCAGACAAGATGGATAGTGCGCAGGGGACTTAAGTGAACGAATCGAAGTCAGTGATGCCAATTGCCAAAAAATAATGCGAAAAATATGCTAAAACTTGTTCTAAGTTTAAAATTGTACTAAAAAATACCAAATTTTGAAATTATACCAACAAAAAACTAGATCAGTTTTACGGAGCACAAATTATACCAATTTAGTACTGAAAATACCGAAAACGGATTTTCGCTTAACATTAACTGATTGTCTGTCTGCGTGTTGGGTTAGTATTTAAGCATGGAGGTTAGTGAGAAGGATAACGATCGCTGTAATAAAGAGTGTTCCAGAAATATGGACAAAATAAGTGAGGCGCTGCGATCGCTAAGTTGTCTCAATAGAAGCGGGCTGTTGTGCGCTAATTGGAAATTTGTACATTATTCAAGTAACGTCATCTACTTGTACTCATAAACAGCTAACTTCACAGATACTACTTACCGACGGCAGCGCGGCTGGTGGCTGAAAAATGAACTATAAATTCTACAAACTTTTCAGTGACAGGCGGGCTAATGCTTTAGCACGTAGCGATCGTTCTCCTTCTCTCTAACCTCCATGGTATTTAAGTTTAGTTATATGCTTTCATTATTTAAAGGAACCATGTCTTAGTTGCCTTTTTTAGAGAATTATGCTTCCATATCATTTCCATTTCCTAATTCGTTGCCAATACGTCGAATCGGAGAGACGCCATTTTGTCGAATTTGTTTATTTTATTAACGGTACACTTAATATTGTTAATCGCCTCCCTGTATGTCGGGACAAGAAAATAAAGCCTAATTGTCACGTATAATAAGATTTGTGCCTTGTGCCACGTATGAAATGTTTAAAATAACATTTTAAGTATTAACGTTGAAATAGGTAGCGGCATTATTTCATAATTTAAGTAGAACTATGAAATAATGCAGATGTAACCAAAATCTTCAGTTTCGGACAAGCATAACGTACTTAACATTGTAAATTATTATATTTTTCATCTAATTGAATTGTATCGAATGCTATCAAATAATAGTTAGGTACTTAACAAATTCTTTACAATGTTTTTGTAATAAATTATTTCATGTTTTACAAGGAGAATTCTTTTATTTTGCTCCCCTGTCCATTTATGTTTTATTTTTATATTCTACTAATGGCCCGCCCTCGCTTCGCTTCGGGGTAGAATTGATCAAAATCCTTTCTTAGCGGATGCCTACATCATAACATCTACCTACATGCCAAATTTCAGCCCGATCCGTCCAGTGGTTTGGGCTGTGCGTTGATAGATCACTATGTCAGTCAGTTACCTTTGAGTTATATATACATATACATATAGACCTAGCTGTCCCAGCGAACTTCGTACCGCCATAAAAAAATAGGGGTTGGTGGTAGAAGGGTGAAAACTTAGGGTTCTATGTATTTTTGTAAGATGTATCATAAAAAAATAAAACAAAAAAAAATGTAAATAAAATGCATTTAAGGGTAAGGGTAATACTGAATATGCATATAAAATTTCACAATAATCGATCCAGCCGTTTCGGAGTAGTTCAATTACACACACCGTGACACGAGAATTTTATATATTAGATTTATACCGATAACTATACCTAGCTTCTAACCCTTCAATAAATGAACATCCAATATGCACTGAGATGGTAGTTACGCAACATCAGTAATGGAATGACGGAATGGCTGCTGTCCTCAAGCTAAAATTCGGCTAAATGATAAAACGTTTAAATTATTCCTATTTTGTAACCATCCGTCACTTGAAGGATTTTTAGAATTAAACTATAACAGATACGAATACTTGTTAAAAACAGATCGATAGAAAATTAAAAACTGTATAAGATGCAATATAAATATTTCCAATAAATAAATAAATATTTCCAACACTCACACCAATTAGCCTAGCCCCAAAGTAAGCACTGTAAGGCTTGTGTTATGGGATGCTAGGGTAACGGAAAGAATACATATACTGTACATATATAAGTATATTTATATAGAAATACATATTAAAGTTCCATGACTGGAGTACAAATGCTCGTATTCATCACACAAACATCTGCCCCCACCGGGATTCGAACCCGGGACCTCTCGAGTCGGCGACACCATGAAACCCGGCGTACAAACCACTCGGCCACGGAGGTCGTCATTATATTATCAATATAAGACTGAAAAATCGACAACATTTGCCGCACTTTGATTTGAGGGCGGCAGATGGGTGAACCAAAATTTTACGATAGCGTTCTCCCCTACTACTTGTTATACAAATAAGGTTACCATCCATCGGGGTCCGGATTTTATAAAATTACATTGAATATAAATAATTAAAGCACATATTGATTTAAATACCATACCATTGTAGCTATGTGAGTAATGGTACCATTTTGTGACTAAAAAGTTCGGACTTCTTTTTAAATGTCAGGATTTTTGACATTTCAAAAAAATTTCGAGTTGAATGGGGGATATAAGCAAGAGAAAGCAGTGCGCGTGCACATTTTCTTTCTCTCTTTCTCTTATAGCTAGTAAATGAAATATGTATATGTACATACATGTATATACTGTGCAACCATATATATATATACAGGATGTGACAAAAGTCCGAAATAAAACTTTAGGGTTTGGTTGTGTTCCTTGTATAGAATTACCTACGAAAGTTTGACGCCTTTCAGACCACTTTTATTTTCTAATTAAATTAATAAAAATATCGTTTTACACCTGCCTATGACAACCCTATAAATGCGTACGATTACTACTACCTAAACAGACCCCCCTCTCTCCCCCAGGCGCCCCTGCGCCCCGCTCAGATACCTACAAATTTTTATTTCGGAATACATTTCTACAAATTTTATTTCGGAATTCTGTAACACCCTGCATATACATACAAATGGAGCTAAAGAAGTTTCACTTCAGTCGTGTCACAAGCACACTTGTTTTTTTTTAAATAAACTTGTAGAAGTAAGTTATTGATTTCCGCTGCTCAAGTATTGATTTAAAGCAGGTATGTATTGCTTCCTAGTGGCTGCAAGATTCAACTGTCTGTAGTACCGGCTAACAGGCGATGGCGCTTCCTTACACTCTAACTGTAGATACGAGTCCCTCCATCTCTCCAGAAAACTGCCTAACTGTCGACAAACGACGGAATGTTTAATGCAAAAGGATTTTTGATTAACGGAAAAAAAATCGGAAAAAATAGTGACACATTTTCGGAAATTTCTAAAGGGTCTTTGCAGAAGGCGGTGGATTACGGCTTCATCATCGTAATCAGCCTATTAATGTCCCCACTGCTGGGGCACAGACTTTCCCTATGGATGGAATAGGCAGATCAGGCATGGATTATGCCAGTTACTGAATATTTATTGCGAGGGTCTATTGTTAATCGTTCGGAAATAAAAGTGACACGTTGACATTCTCCACTGACGACTGAAGCAACTTATTGCATTTTAAAGCTGTTGTAGTAAATAATGTTTGGTTTTCCGAAACACAACAGTTACAAGTTTTCGGAAAAAATAGTGACACGGAATTTCGATAATATCGAAGGGGTCTTTCCAGAAGGCTAAGGATTAGCTAGAAGAGTTAATAAAAATTGACAGATAGTGATTAGGAGACTATGGTGTCGATTCTGGCGTCAATCTCTAAATTTCAAACTAAATTTAACACCAGTCTTCCTTTGTATTCTGTATGGAGAATGGCAAGCAACACTGTTGTCAAAATTCAGTTTAGAGTTTTAGAGAATCATGCCAGAATCGACACCTATATTGAGTTGCGTGTGTATTACGTTGTTCGTAAATAAATAATGCGACAAGTTGCCATTGCCCATGGAGGTAAGAGAAAAGGAGATCGATCGCTGCAGAAAATAGTGTCCCAGAAATATGGACAAAATAAGTGAGGCGCTGCGATCGCTAAGTTGTCTCAATAAAAGCGGGCTGTTGTGCGCTAATTTGAAATGACCAATGCCGCGAAGAAAATTTGTACATTATTCAACTAACTTCATCTACTTGTATACATAAACAGCTAACTTCACAGATACTACTTACCGACGGCAGCGCGGCTGATGGCTGAAAAATGTACTATAAATTCTACAAATTTTCAGGGAAAGGCGGGCTAATGCTTTAGCACGTAGCGATCGTTCTCTTTCTCTATAACCTCCATGCATCCTCCAATGATTTTCTTCGCGTATCAGGTAGATTATCAAAAAGTATTCGACAAGTATTTTTTTAATTTTTTCACGTAATCAATCAAAATTTTACAGAAATACATTGATTTGAAATGTCACGCGACGTCACGCTTTCGTAGCTACAATTTTAACTAAAAAGTGACGTCACTCTCCCGAACTTTATCTTTGTCATTTTTGAAGTGAAACTTCTTTAAGCACGCTTAACTTGGGGGGTAAGCTGGCGAACGCGTTACGCGTTACGAAAAGTGTGATCGGGCGAGGCGAACGGGAGTTGAGTGGGGGATGTAAGCAAGAGAAAGCAGTGCGCACGCACATTTTCTTTCTCTCTTTCTCTTATAGCTAGTAAATGCAATCTGAATATATGAACATACATGTATACAGGTTGGTCCAACTAGTGACGTCAACAATTTTATTTTAAATTCCTCGCACCTGGGGGTATCCGAAAATACCCCATGTATGTTCCACGATTTTTCTTAGTTTTCGAGTTAAAATGTTTTTTTTTTGTGTATTTTTAATGATTTCTGGCAGCGAGGTTTCAAAAATTCATATCTTCTTTCGTAGTAGGTATTTTGCAGTCTTTTTTTATGACATAATTGCCTTGAATGCAGTTTTAATAAAAAAAAGTAGCTCGGCTTCCTAAAATTACTTAAAGTTACTCAAAAAAGGCTTGAAGTTGGATCTTTCATTTTTAGTAGGATCCATCTCCATGGAGCTAAATAAGTCTCACTTCAGTCGTGTGATCATAAGCACACTCGGTTTTATTTTGGTTGAGTGACATGAGAAAAATTAAGTGTCCATACTTTTTGATTGAAATTTGAATCTAACTGACGAACTAAATAGAATTTCACTTTACCCCGTCATCATCTCTTTTAAAAACCAGTAGGTTATAAACAGTTATCCCAATTCCATTCATAGGGAAGGCCTGTGCCCCAGCAGTGGGGACATTAATAGGCCGATGATTGCTAAAGCTTACCTGCTCAGCTATTTCCGTCTCGTTCGCGTAGATAGCGACGTCCCTCTTCATTCCTGCTGACAAGTCCATGCCCAATAGTAACACTATAGAGCAGTTTCTCTTATGCAAAGATTCTTCCAGCGCTTCTTTCACGTTTGACTTCTTTAGGAATTCCTGTTAATATGTCATTTATATTTAAAGATTTTTTTCACTATCAAAATCAAAAATCATTTATTCAAGTATTTGTGTGGGTCAAGAAGCTACGCCATCGGTTCGCAAAACTACGGCGGGAGACCTTGTACAGAGAAGAACCGGCAAGAAACTCAGCAAGGGCTGTTTTTTCTCCCTATATTGTTATATACAGAGTCGTCAAGTTGAAAATGACTTCAGAGATACTTCTGAAGTCACCTTCCATTACATCATTTAGCATATATATATATATATATAGTTGATCTATACCTAACTACTATGTTCAACTTTCTCTGTGATAAAAGGTTAAGGTTACAAATAAAGCAATGTTTGAAAAACTTTTTTATCGAGAGTGTAGATGGCCGGTGTAACCAGAGTGGTTACAAAATTTCACACTTCACTGCTTTATCAGTACTCTTAAATTTAGTAGTATTAAAATACGTTCAAAGTTTGGAAATAGCTACAGTTTTGTCTTTTATTAATGTCATTTTTTTGAAGTCCCTTGAAAAAGATAAAACGGAAAAGCATCACGAGCGTCACATGAGTGTATATATATATATATTATATATATGTGTGTGTGTGTGTGTGGGATGCGTGCGCAGCTCTTCCCGACGAGCATGAAAGTTGGAGGGTAACTCGGCGAAGCCTGAAACGCTACGAGCGTCACACGTATATATATATATATAGAGTAGGTAAGCTTCTTCTTTCATTCTTCTGCTCCATTCCCCTTTGCCTTATGCACCGTCTAAGGTTATTAGGTTATTTAAAAAAAGAGGTTAATTAGTGTGACTTCAGATAGTGGTCCGTGCACACTATTTTGTTTTTGTTTATGTGCGTATCAAATTCAACCTATTGAAAAATCTCTTTATGGTTTGTCAACCTTTTGTCTCAGAGGAACTTGAACACAACATAGAAAAAATCCACTTTATACCCAGATTTTCAGACGAGATTCAAACCTTTTCGCAACCGGATTGCGAAAGGTGGCGCAATCCGGGCGGTATTCAATCCTACCTAAAATCTGGACAGAGTAAATTTAATTTCTAATAAAAATCAAGAATATATATGCCTAATAATAGAGGAATAGTTAGCGCGTTCGGCTGCAATCGTTGAAGTCAAGCAACTTTCGCAATGGTCGGTCGCTGGCTGGTTGACCAAAAATTTACTATCTCGAGCTCCTTCGTACGGAATTTTCGGAAGGCACTTCAAGCCGTTGGTTCCAGCTGCATCCGCAGTCTTTAGTACCTGCACCACATTACTACGATATTAAATACCCTAGATACAACATCACGAACAAAATCGTGCCCGAAACCTGTCCAAAATGTACATTGCACGATCCACGGAGCTCCGTAAGATGATCATGTAGTCAAAAACAATATATGGCATTATTTAAACATCACCAAAAGTCACCTTTAATGCATAATGTATAAGGTATTGATTAAAACGCATGCGTCAAAGAGGTATGACAATTGGAAATGCAAGCTCGTAAAATTTTACGACTTATTGCTATATGCGGAAGAATATAGACCTTATTTCTTTGACTCTACGCGCAATTCTGAATGTTCTGTTAACAATATAGCAGGTACAGACCGCGAGGAAAAGAGATGGCTATATAACCGACCATGCATTTGAATATCATAAATATTTACTATTATATCTATTTATAATGTATTTCAATAACATTTTGCTTCCAATGTGTTAAATTTACAAACATTGATTAGAATACCTGTCGAAAAAACGAAACTCTACGTACTATAAGTATTTTGTTTAAAATATTTTCACGGAGTTCTGCGGGCATCTTCACTTTTCAACGGTCTGCGCGTGACTGTAAATAAGTGCTTGAGTGGAGTTCAAGCACTTCTTGATTAGGACACATTTTGAGCGCACGTGGTGTATCTAGGGTATTTAATATCGTTGGTTTGACGCGAAAAAGATGCTAACGCTAACTATCCTTAAAAATCTTTTGTGTGAAACATTTTACCTGGACTAATATTGGGAAGGACGGGACCAGTATGTGTCCGAATGTCTTAGCGTCCTTCCTCAAGAGTTGCGCAGCAGTTAGCGAAGACACTTCCGCTTTTGCTCTCGTCAGATGATCTAGCTTCGTCTTTCTGTCAAAATTAAATATTTAAGTCACAACCATCTTTAGCCTTTTAATATTCCTACCTTAAGGCCTACCGTGAGGAACTCGATGGCGCGGGTGGTTACCGCGTTTTAAGTTAAGCAACTTTCCGAGCGGTCGGTCATTGGATGGGTGACCAAAAATCTTCTATCTCGATTTCCTCCGTGCTTCGGAAAGCAAGTTAAGCCGTTGGTCCCGGCTGCATCTGCAGTTGTTAGCACCCGCCAATCCGCAGTGGGCCCGCATGGTGGGATCGGCCTAATCTACCTATTCCATCCATAGGTAAGGCCTGTGCCCCAGCAGTGGGGACATTAATAAGCTGATGATGATGATGATTCCTACCTTTGGGTACAGGCCTTCCCTATCATATCATTTCCTAGCGCGGGCAGTCCTGCGCACGTCTGCGGGATCACCTGAAATACCCCGGGTGATCTCTGCCGTGGAGCCCTGGCTAGGCCGGGAGGCTGTTGGGCGCGGAGACACGGTGAAGTCACACAACGGGGATCTCGCGGTTCCGTACTTAACAGCGTAGAGGGTATTCGCAGGGTTTTTCAGCGGACAGTATGCCGTAAGCGCTCGTAAGCTGTACGGACTACCTAACGGCTTCTCCGTTTCGCACCCGTGAGACTTGCGCGAGGCTAGGTGTGAGGTCCGTTCGTTGGTGTGCCCCGTAAGGGCGTCAACGTCTTTAATAGGGGTTTCGCCTGCGTAAAAAAAGGCCTTCCCTATGTAATGTTGTGGACTCGTAGTCAGATCTTAGAAATGACCAGAGACAAAGATCGGAATAGATAACAAAAGTGTATTGTCACGAACTCTCTCGAACCAAACTGGAAACAGGTTTAACCGAAGCGTCGGGGCTTGAGGCCGAGTGGTGCGGTTCTTTTTAATATGAGCCTTATGCAATGCGGCGTAAGAGTGAAAGTGCAACGAGATCTACACTTGTTTAAAAACTCATTCGCGTCGTCAGGACTCGCTTGGACTTTTCTGGAATGCGTCGATTGACGCATATAAACGCATTCAGTGCCACAGTAAACCACAGAAAACAGAAAGAGGATAAAGCAGGGCTTTGTGGGCGGGGCAGGCGCGCCACAGTTATGTGTGAGCAAATGCACATAACTTGGCCGAAACTTGGTTCTGACTGCGTCATTGCTCTCGGGTGTGAGCGCGCCTGTCCCGCCAACAAGGCCATTTTCACCACTTTGTGTTCTGTAGGTAGAACTAAAGCAATTAGTACTGGCTACTTTGATCATTTCATTATATTGCGGGTATTTCATAACATGGAAAATTATCTCCTGTTTGGCCAAATTAATTATAAACAGAATTTATCATCATAAACGACTAAAGGCTCTATCTAATGACGTTGTCAAATATCTGTTGATCATATCCTAAAGTAGTTTCATTTTTTACAAGATGAGAGGCACTGAAACAACGAATTATAGTAATTTCTGATTATGTTTTTGCGAAAACTCATGCGTGTTCGGTGGGGTGAATAAATTAATTATAATAATTCAAAATTCTATCATTGCAGTCTATTTTTAGTTTATAATTAGCACTTTGATGAATCTTTGCGTTTCTGGTCGTTATAAACTGGGTGTCTTTATCACGGTACTGATATATAACTTACAGATTTGGATAATGGATTCAAGTAGACTTACTTACCTGTATAACTGGCAGTCTTGTGATTTGAGTAGATCCTCTAGGAATAGTACCATCTCCACATCTTGAGGAGTTGTCTTATCGAATTCTTTAGAGAAATTCACGGTGTCCAATATTATAGTACCTTTTAAAATAATGATTACATGATAACAGTTCTTTGCTCAGTTAAAAAAAAACTACTACTAATACTCGTACAATAACAGGGTACAAATACAGGATTTCTTAGAGATACCGAGATCGATACAGTGATGTTGTCTCTGCAAGTGCTCGATTGAAAGTGAGCAGGCAATGACCTCCCGAGCTTTTTATAAAAACGTTTTCCAATATGGCGTCTTGCTTGATAGGTGAGGAATATTTGATAAATGTATATATTAAGTATTATTGAAATTATAAAACCGCTTACCGTGTAACATATCGCTTATAAAAGGGTATGTGTTGAAGAAATCAACGTCTCTACCCATCAGGGAGCTTAGCTCTTTTATCCTCCTGGCGACCAGAGTTGCACAGGATCCCACCACCTCTATGGTACTCCGCGTGTCATCCTTGAAGTTCCAATCGCTCCGGTCTGTCGGTCTGTGGTCTATGATCTCTGTCACATAAGGCGCGAGAAACCGATCGTGAGCTGACAATGTGTGGTGATCGACTAAAACCACTTTTGTCGGTTTCTTCACAACCAGCTGTTGCAAATCTATGTCATTTCTATAATAAAAGACGAAACTAAATCTAAAGAAAACTTTTAATAGAAAAAAAACCACGCGGACCAGGCAGCAGACGGGACTCGAACCCGCACCCTTCGGAATCCGGGCGAATGCACTGACCAATTATGCTATAGAAATTTTCCTATCCTTAAGCTGCAAGGCAGCGCCATCTCTTCGCATTGTAGGTAACCCACAATGGTCAGTGCATTCGCCCGGATTGCGAAGGGTGCGGGTTTGAGTCCCGTCTGCTGCCTGATCCGCGTGGATTTTTTTTCTATTAAAACTTTTCTTTAGATTTAAACATCTAGCAGTTAAATGCTTAAAAAGAAAATAAAAACATAGACATAACTAAGTTAAAGAGATGTCGGGCACAAAGAATTTTCGAATTGAAGCGCCCGTCTGGGAAAGACCTACAGAAGATACAGTAAAAAAAACCTCCTTTTGGTAGTGTTGTATTTTTGCTGGTGAGTAGGGTTCCAGGTTCCTCGAGGTAGGGTGTTGGATTTAGGCCCGCCACAGTTTTTTGAAGTGAAAACTTCTTTAGCGGCGTTGTACACTTTTTTTTGTATGGGTAAAAAATGTTAAACTCGCGTCAGGTTAAACACGTGGGCTGATCGCATCATGACACACAAAAAAATCGGAAAGGTTGTTGAATTTCAATATATTGGACGTAACACAGTAATATTTTATTTTACCGTATTATAATAATAAGTCTCTATGTAGGACGTCCACGTGGCAGTTTTATTGCGAAGAAAATGCATTTTTTTAAAATAGAGTCGCTAGGTGCGCTTAAATGTGATTCATGTAAGTTGATTTCTTTACAATAGATGTCGCTAAGTGCGCTTAAACGTAATTCATGTAAGTTGATTTTTCAGAGAGATAAACTTTTTTAATGTAATATAAATTGTCATGTTTGTGTACGATAGCGCAATAAATAAATATTGTATTCTACCACATACATGATAGTACTTTTATACTGATAATTAAGCAATTCGTGCAAAATTATTCCCTAACCATTCCAAAATATCAAAATGCACAACGTTAATATTCAAGTTTTCACTTTCTGCCGGCACTCCCGGAGTGGAACCCGTCGTTTTTTTTTTATATAAAGCCAGATAGGCAAATAACCCATTACACCTGATGTTAAGTGGTGATAAAGTCCAAACGTGAAGATAGCTGGAACAGCAGTTATAAACTGCCACACCAACCATCCGCACCTTGCCGGCCTGCAAAAATGCTTCTTCACGCCTCTCTTGAAGGACCCCAGATTGTAGTAAGGATGGAACACATGCGCGGGCAAAGAATTCCACTTGCGAATAGTACGACAAAAGAATGAGTCACCAAATTTCTTTGTTCGTGTAGGAATAGTGGCCACAGTAAGTCGTTGGCAACGTAGGCCAGCGCGAGTGGTTCACTGAAGAAAAGGTGATGGAGGGATGAGGGAGAATAACTCCTCAGAACAGAGCAATGTGAGGCTGGAGCGGCACACCTTCTGCCGCATCTACTATCTTCGCTACAGGATTCCACTTATACTTAACATCAGGTGGAGGGGTAATTTGTTGAATAGGTATGTATTATTTTATCATTAAATTATTCGTCATGAGGATCGCGATAACGCAGGTAGTTAGCGCATTCGGCTTGCGATCGTGAAAATTAAACCACTTTCGAAATTATCGATTGGATGGATTGATGATCGACATATTACCTCGAGCTCCTACGTGCTTCGAAAGGCACGTTAAGCCGTTGCTCCCGGCTGCATCTGCAGTCGTTAAGACCCTACCAATACGGACTGGGCCCGCGTGGTGGGTAATGGGCCAAGTCGCCAATGCCATCGATTGCCCTAGCAATGGGGAGGTTTTAATAACGAATCATTATATTTCATAATCACCAGAATAATAATGTCCCCACTGCTGGGCACAGGTCTTCCTTATGGCTGGAATGGGGAGACTGAGCCATGCGTGACCCACCACGCGGGCCCAGTGCAGATTGATGGGTCCTAACGACTACAAATTCAGCCGGGCTGGCCCAACCCTCCTATTCCATCAATATTAAAGGTCTGCGCCCATGCCTTGGGGACATTATTAGGCTGATCATGATGATATATTTTGACTGTTGCGCAGTATTTATTATTTGCCCGCGTACGTGTTCCCTCCTTCCTACGATCTGGGGTCTTTTAAGAGAGGCGTGAAGAAGCATTTTTGCAGACCGGCAAGGTGAGGATGGTTGGTGTGGTAGTTTATGACTGCTGTACCAGCATTCTTCGCGTTTAGAGTTTATCACCACTTAACATCAGGTGGGGTAGTCATTTGCCTACCTGACTAAATAAAAAAAATGGAGCACCATCTGGGGAAGTAACCTCAACCTTACAGAAGCCAACAGTAAAATATGTACTTGTTGGTGGTGTTGTTTCTGTCTGTGAGTAAGGTTTAGGTAGGTAACGGCGCGAGTAATATATTTTGTATCGTAAGCATCTATAGGCAATGGTGACCGCTTACCATCAAGGTGGCCTTTCGTAGCGAGCGTCAGCGACGCCGCGACAAAGCGTCAGATTGAATTTCTATGCAAATGTCAATGTCAGCGTCGGTCAATAAGGCACTGACAATGTCATTTGCATAGAAATTCTATCTGACGCTCTGACGCGGCGTCACTGACGCTCGCTTCGAAAGCCCACCTCCAGCGGGTCAATTATGCTTTAGTGATATAATCCTAATATGATGTCAATGTGATGTTGATGCCAAGTTGACATTGTTTTTAAATGGTATTATGAAAAATTCCTGTCACATCAAGATCATATCAATATCATATCCTGTATCACTTTTTTGACGTTTATGCGATACTGTTTTAAGTCAAAAAGTTGAACGTAATACGCATTTACGTTGATATCATTTTAAAGAGTTGATCATAATACGCATAAGTTGATGTCTAGTTGATGTCATTTTGTATCGTATTTTTCGGAGAGCATAATACATAATGTGAAATTGACATCAAAACAATATCACAATTGGCGAGCATAATTGGCCTGCAAGCGGGAAGTACGGTTATTTGCCACCATTTTAACATAAAATCAACTTTCATAATCATTATCAAAGAGTTCATAATCATTATCTATTACTTACTTGAAAACTAAATGCCTATTGTTGATGCCATGCTCGCTGAGAACATATACCACTTCAGTTTTTAAATCGTAATCTTCCCTGTCAACGTTTAAGATTGAAACAAAAATATCATCTTTGTATGCCTCTTCATCTCTCTTGTTCTTTGTGCACACTTTGCATTTGATCTGCTGGTGTTGCCAGTGCAAAAATATGGCATACACTAGAGAGCTGATGACTGAATCTAGATCGCAACTCTCATTCCCAAGAACAATGGTCAGTTCGTTGAAGTCCAAAGATTTCTGAAAAGAAAAACTGACTTACTGAACCTGTATTTTGATGACACTTCAGGGCGGCGCTCATTTTAGCTGCCCGCTAGCTAGCACAGTCTCTAGTGCCCAATCGTTGACAACAGGTATTCCCATTGAAGAAACACAAAGGCGAGATGTTTGACGTTGAGTTTAGTGTAAAATATTGAGTGAAGCGTGAAGCCACTGAGGGAAAGTGAGCAGCGCAGGCTCTTATAGGTATATCTACAGAAAATCGTTATTCCAACCAATTCAACTCGGTTAGGTACCCGTTTGAGTGTTGCCCGGTACCTCAGACAAAAAGAAACACAGAAAATAGTTTTTTTTTAAATCGTTTACGCGTTTACAGTGCGTCCATGATCTTGTAGGACTTAGATGACTGGTCGCTGGGTGAATAAGTGGTGAAATAAGGATTCTTCAACTTAAAGGCTTGTGGCGGCGACATCTACATATACTCGTAACTAACATGGAGGAAATACTCTTACGTCTCCTCAAGAGATGGCGTTACCGGCGTTGCGCTCTCAATGTATGGAAGCCTCAAACGCGCAAGTAAAATTCGGAGGCTAACACTCCATATATAGAATGCCCGACCAACATCAGTCTGGCCGCGGCCCCCGAGCTACCATCACCCAGCTCGGAGGAAGATTTTCCCCTTTGGCCTTCCTACAGGCTTATTTTATTTATTAGTTCTGATTTCAGCCACGAGCCTCAAAATTTTAGTAGAACTGTTCGTATCAACGCCACGAGAAATAGCGGCTCTGGTGCTAAATGACGAGCCTGCCTGGAGGAGGAAGAGGAGACGAGCGCCCATGTCCTGCTGGAATATAGAGGTGTTGCAAGACGAAAGACTTCTCTATTGGGAAATTGGGAGACACTAGTAGAGGCATGTAGCAACATCCAGGGGCTGCTGGGCTCTCTGGAGGAGCTGGGATGGCAGGACTGATGCCAATACCCACGCAAAATAGGCATTTGGTGTTGTTGCGGAATCAGCCCATCTTACTATTAATAACCTAGGCTTATTTTCTCCTATAAATAAAATGCTGTCTCATTACAATTCAATGTCAAAGTCGACCGATATGGATATGAAGAGAATAAAATCTTTGTTTGGTTGTGCCCACATAGTTTTTCATTCATTTATTTTATTGTTGTTGTTCGATTACTGTAAATTTTTAATTATATTTTTATTCAAAACTGCTTTGTATTGAGATTAATGTTATTTAAATTTCAAAATTTCATAAGATTTAATTGCTAGTTAAGTGTATATTGCATGTCGTAATCGCCTATAATTAGTTTCACTAATAAAGTGTCTTACAATAAATGTGTAAATAAGAAATGTCTAAGTGTAACTTTGTTGGTGATCAAATAAATAAATAAATTAAATAAATAAGACTAAGGTCCGTATTACAGAATGACAACTAAGTGTCTTTACTTGAGTACAGTTAGAAAGGGATATCGCTATGTGCTATATATAGCGACATCCCTTTCTAACTATGCTCCAGACTAGATCAATTCCTGAGAATCTTTCTATAATACAGGCCTAAGACTACTAAGTGACGTCAGTGCAACCGGTGAGTAAGGTTCCAGGACTCCACGGGGTAGGGTTCTTTTTTTTATTATATTTATTTATTCTCTTTTTTAACAGTGGTCGGATTTATGCATTTTGAGTTTTCTGTCTGTTTGTTTATTTATTTGTCAGATCCAATCCCGGGGTGACCGGGGTAGGGGATTGGGTCAGGGTAGGCAATGGTGTGAGTGATATTTTTGATATTGCAAGCGTTTATCTATAAGCTATGGTAGCCAATTAGGTGGGTCATATGCTTGTGAGAAAAAACCACACTGGTAATGGGCGATTTTAATGCAAAAATAGGACACACAAAAGCCCATGAAGATCTTATAATGGGAAAATATGGATACGGAAGTCGAAACGAAAGAGGTGAAAAATTAATTGAATATGCCAATGAAAATAAACTTTCTATAATGAATACATTTTTCAAAAAGAAACAGAGTCGGAAATGGACGTGGCAATCACCAGATACACGAACTAAAAATGAAATAGATTTTGTAATGTGTAACAAACCTAAAAGAATCACAAATGTTGAAGTCCTAAACCAAATACACTTTGCATCTGACCATAGACCAGTAAGAGCTTCTTTCCAAGTAAAACCAAACAAACTAAGTAGAAAGTCATTTAAACCCATACCGAGAATACCGAAAACCGACGAAGAAATAACAACATACCTTAACAATCTAAAAGCAAACATACAAATGAACCTAGAAATATTACAACACTCTAAAGAAGTCGAAACATACTCTAACAAACTAGCAGAAATCATAACAACGAGCCTGAAAATGGAAAAAGGAAATCACAAAAATAATAAACACAAAATAATGAGTGAGAAAACAATAAATTTAATAACCAAACGCACAGAACTAATAAAAACCAAAAATAAGAGCAAAAAACAAAAAGAACTAAAAGATCTATTCAAAAAGACAAACAAATCGATTAAAGAGGACTACAAAAACTACAGACAGAGGATAATCCAAGAAAAACTAACAAAATTTCGAAGCTTAAAACGAGCGTACAAAGACCTTAAAACACATGAAAAATGGATTCAAAAACTAAAAAAAGGGAAAAAAGAAACAAAATCCCGAAATGACATTATGAACTGCGCTACTGAATTTTATACAAAATTATATAGGAAAACAAAAGAAGACATAGGAAATGTAGAAATTGAACACCCAACAGAAAGAGAAAATCTCACAATAGATCCCATAACAGAAACAGAGGTACTAACCCATATAAAGAAACTAAAATCAGAGAAGACCCCAGGCCCAGACGGCATTAGTAATGAAGCAATAAAACTCGGTGCACCAATCATAATCACCTTCTTAACAGACCTGTTTAATTTAATTCTAGAATATGAGATAGTACCAAAACAATGGCTTCACTCAGACATCATACTACTTTATAAAAAAGGCGATCCCACAGATATTTCGAACTATCGACCAATAAGTCTACTATCAAGCACCTACAAACTATTCACATCCATACTAACTGCAAGAATAGCTGCTAATATAGATAACCACCAACCACCCGAACAAGCTGGATTTCGTTCAAATTTCTCAACAATAGATCATATTCACACAATAGAACAAATCATGGAAAAGTATAAAGAATACAACAGACCATTATATATAGCCTTTGTAGATTATACAAAGGCCTTCGACAGCATTACACACAGTTCAATATGGAAAGCACTCAACACATGTAAAATAAATAATAAATACATAAATATTTTAAAAAACATATACTGTAACAGTGTAAGCAGACTGCGATTAGAAAACTATGGGAAAGAAATCAAAATAGAAAGAGGTGTTAGACAGGGAGATCCGCTGTCACCTAAGTTGTTCATCGCTGTCCTAGAAAATATATTCCAATCTATAGAATGGAAGAATAAAGGTATAATAATACAAAATCAACACCTAAGTCATCTAAGATTTGCCGACGATATTGCCTTGTTTGCAGAAACAGCTCCAGAAATAGAAAATATGTTAAAATCACTGGACACACAGAGTAAAATAGTGGGATTACACATGAATCCTAGCAAAACGAAAATAATGACTAATGCAGAAAATAAACCAATAACAATTGAAGAAAAAGATATAGAATATGTAAATGAATATATATACTTAGGAAAACAGGTATCATTCAGAGCAAACAGTAACGAAGAAGAAGTGGATAGAAGAATAAATTCTACATGGAAGAAATATTGGGCACACAAAGAAATCCTAAAAGGCAATCTCGATATATCACTAAAAAAGACAGTAGTAGACACATGCCTATTACCAAGCCTACTGTACGGATGTCAAACTTGGGTTTATACAAATAAAATAAAAAACAAAATTACTACATGCCAGAGAGCAATAGAAAGAAGCATGCTAAAATTAAGGAGAATAGACAAAATAAGGTGTACAGACATAAGGAGCAAAACTGGACTAACAGATGCTCTGGAACAGGCCCTTAAACTTAAATGGAAATGGGCGGGTCATCTGTCAAGATATACCGACAAAAGGTGGTCCCTCAAGTCCACTGGATGGTCCGGACCAAAAGGCAAAAGAAAAGTAGGCAGACCCAGAAAACGATGGTCCGACGATATTGTGTCTGTGGCAGGCAGGGACTGGCTGAAGGCGGGGAAAGATAGAGAAAAGTGGAAAGCAATGGAGGAGGCTTTTACCCAGATGGGATCCATGTCTGAAACTGTACTAACAAATACTAAAAACCAACATAATACTTAGGTTTACTAACAAACTAACATAAATAAAATGTAGAAGTAACCAATGGATATGGAATAAAAAGCTTTTTTATTTTTTATTTTTATTTTATTATGCTTGTGAGCCACCATTTTACCATTAATAAAAAACAATGCAAGCAGCGCAGCATAATCATGTTGTTACTGAGTGGCAGGCAGCTATGGGCATCTTGTGCGATACAGAGTTGATATGGTGTCATCACTACTACATACATTATGTTGATATATTAAAATAAGACTAACTTCATTAACTGATGTGAAGCTCAGCGGATGCAGTGAGCGATTATGGCCTATATTTGGTGCATTGCACCGTAGATACCGGTTTAAAATACTGAATTGGCTATTTGTTCAATAAACTTCTGTTTCACAATCATGTGGTCAAACAGTAGGTAACTATGTATTAGTTTGGTTTTTATCGTTTTTACTAACAAGGCTTATAATGACAAAACTCTTGTTTAAAATATTGATAATTCACCTTATTACAAAACATAGACTAAAAAGGGCAATCTAGACTCAAACCGATGCTGTCACTTTTATTTGCTAAAAAGAAGTCGGAGACAACATTACGAGTAAACTAAGACTAACTTAAGTCCATATTTTGGATTAACAAAGTGAATTTGATGAAATAAATAAAAAAAATTGGTAGAAAACTTAATGAAATATATTTAAAAATAATAAATGAAGAGGGATTTTACCCCTATGTGATAGTTATTACAATTAACTAAATCCATTAAAAACTTTTAAAGGTAATTTTGGAGATAGTCTTAACTAGGAAAATCATAAATTCATATCTTTTCTATCAAAAACATAAAATTTTAAAGTCATAACTGACTAATTAGGTTCTGAAATATGACTCATTCTCCAGGTCATGCTAGTTGGTTATCACAAATATAACACAAGGTTCCATCCCCGACTTTGTCTGTGTTATAGACAGTGTTTTGAGAATCATTTTTCCAGGATAAAGAGTATCTATCCATATGTGTGCCAAATTTCATCCAAATTCATTCAGACCTTTTTGTGTGACTGAGTAACAAACATACAAATTTTTACATTTATAACATTAGTAGGATAATGTCTAAATTATTACTTTACTTGTTTGCACAACACTATTTAAATACAGTGTAAACTCCAAGTAACATCACTCGATTTAACGACAAATATCGACGACGATATCGTCGTAAATCAATCGTGCGATTGTACCATCCAAGGAGAGGAACTTAGTATTGTTTCGAATCTCCTCTCCATGAGATTCAAATACCAAATTAATTTTTTCCTCCAGTCGATGGACATGGTGCCATTGAATAGGTAGCACGACTATATAAAAAAAACTCCAGGGCTGGATGTAGTTACTGAAACAATGACAAATAAATTGTTTTTAATGTCATCAAATGAACAGCAACCTTTATTGACAAGTATTTATTTATTAAATTTTCAATATTATATTAAACTCAATATTTACATTTCTAAATCGTTTTCTCCAAAATCATTGTTCAAAATTTTTAAAGGATCTATCGCCTCTGAGTAAAGAATCCCATAGTTGATTTCAATGACTTTGGCAAAGACCCATACTTTCTCATTGGGATAGATCATCAGCGTTGTCAGTGTATTTTATATAGGAGAACAGAAAATTTTCCAAACTCCCTGTCAAATCATTCCACAGCCTCATTACAGATTTTATTTGATTTGTCAGGTGGTTATCTTCTATAAAGTTCTGCCACTCTTTGGGAAGAACGAAATCGTTTGTCTTTGGTTGGTTTAGTTTGTTTTCCATACAATGATACACTCCATATAGCATTAAACTCACTCTCAATTGCGACAGCAATTAAGAAATAAAAAGTACCTTTTTAGTTGCCAAAATTAGTGAAAATCATGCAGCTGTATAAATTTTTTTGTCGCTTTATTATCCTAGCCCATAATAAACTCATGCAAACCAAACTTTCTAAGAAATTCATTCTTTTGATTACAAATTGGGATTGCAGGTGTAGACTGTTGTTGACCATGACTAAAACAAATATGATACAACAAAATTACCGGTGCAGCAAAAGACGTCAGACAGAAATAGCAGAATATACGCAATAGTGTTCAAATAAGATTATTTTTTTATGTACGTAACTACTAGCTTGAAATGAACTTTTTCTTCTCATAATTCTGATTTTTCTTCTTTCCATTTAACGACAACTCTCTATAACGCCATAAAATCTACAGTCCCTTTAGTGTCGTTAAATAGAGTTTACACCGTACCTAAATGTATCATGTGTAACACAAGTTGATAGGCACAACGTGATATCGTACATCTCGTTCGTTCCTTATTTTAGAAGTAGAAAAATTATGAATTATGAAGTATATAGTAAAAAGGTTAGTTTAAAGTGAAAAGGAAAAAAGATAAAAATCAAAAACATTTTGATCATACATACCAATTTGTTAACAGAATTAAAATAATCTTCCATTTCACAAACAAGTGCGTTAATTGCAAGATTCCCGGTCACACAAAGATACACGAATGTTTACTGAAAGTAGTATAAAATTGATTTGATTTCTTCAGTGATGGCTCCCTCAGGATTTGGCCAATATCTGGTGTTTGTGTCCAAAATTTCTTGACTACTTTGTTCAGCGAAATATGTAGTATAAAAAAAAATTAAAAACAGTTCAAAGCTAGTTTTTTTTTTTCTCCTTTATAGCCTGCACGGTTTGTGCGTCAGCCACATACAAGTGTAAAGGTAGGGAAACAGGATAAAAAAAGAACGGAAATTTAGAAGGACAGGATCAGGTAAGTATTTACAGTTCAATATTGTTTCTGGATAAAATTAGAAATACATAAATAAATATCATACTTCATACAATAAAGCAAAGTATTTACAGAAGACGGGAGGGGAATACGAAGGGATATTAAGGAGTCAATAAAAGAGGAACAGTCATAAGGAGCACGCGAAAAAAATATGGTTTAAATCACCAACATCAGCGCCACAATTACACATACTGCTATTGACTATTCCTAATCTAGCCAGATGAGAAGAAGTGCAAACATGACCCAGTCTCATCCGAGTTACAATAGACGTAGTTTTCTTGCCAAATTTAAAATTATAAAACCAAGGCTTTGTAGGAATGAAAGTTTGAATTTGTGAGTAATGCTTTCCTTTCCTTTCCTTTTTACTAGAAACAGACCATATTTGTTCCCAGGATTCACGAAGATCCGAATTAGGAAGACCTAAAAGATCTAAAGTTTTTGTATGGAAAAATATCGCTACAATCTACAGCATCATTGGCAAATTTATCCGCAATTTCATTGCCATAAATACCTACATGACTAGGTATCCAGGCAAAAACTACATCAAAACCTTTTAAATGACATTGCCAGAGAATTTTTCTACAATCTATAATAACAGGATGATTGGTATATTTAAAAGGAATTTTTTGTAGTGCTTGAAGCGCACTTTTAGAGTCAGAAAATATAACAGATTTTTGCAAGTTCATAAGATTTTTATATTCTAAAGCTTTAAATAATCCGTAACATTCGCCAGTAAAAACAGAACTTTCATGTGGTAATTTAATTTTTTGGACAATTTTTGATTGTTGATGATAAACTCCAACACCAACGTGGCCTGAGGAAGAGTTTTTAGATGCATCGCTATAAATGTAATGTCGATCTGGCCAGTCTCTATCTATGATTATATTAAAATCAACATTTGCAGAATAAATGGATCGCGATATATCTAAAGTAAAATAATTTTTAGGAACAAGAGTTAAAGCGTCATAGTCTGCAGAAAAAATAGAGAGACGCTGGGAGATGTGAGTAGGGGAATGCAAAGAAGAAAATTTACGAAAACTTACGACTAAACAAGGTAGTGACTTAAGCCTCCAGTAAGAAGATGATGATACTATGAGTGAAAGAGTAGATAATTTGGAATGAAGGGGATGCTTAGCAAATTGCAAAGCACGGAACAGAAACTTGTCAGAAAGATATTGACGCCGGAGTCGTAGAGGAGGGTCCACACATTCAACTTGTAAAGCATTGATAGGGCTAGATTTCATTGCACCGGCTATTAAGCGAAGAGCTTTAGACTGTATCCCATCAAGCTTTTTAAGCCCAACAGCATTGCATGGCTCAAGAAAGTAACTTCCATAGTCTAAAATACTTCGTAAAAGAGCGTTGTAAAGAAGTTTCAAAGTATATGGGTGTCCACCCCACCAAACACCGGTTAAGCATCTCATGATATTTAAAACTCGTTCACATCGAGCTGTAACGTAAAAGCAGTGAGATAAACCTGATAATTTTGCATCTAAAATAACTCCTAAGAATTTTATTTCGTTTTGTACCGGGATAGGTTTATTATCAAAACATACGGAAACAGAAGGGGGTATACGCATTCTAGAAAATAACACTACGCAGCTTTTTGAAACGGAGAGATTAAGAGCGTTAGAGTCTAGCCAAATTTTAAGGTTGGACAGTGCTCTACTTAAAATATCACTTATTTCTAAAATAGATCGTCCCGAAACATATAAAACCAAATCGTCTGCATATTGTAACACCGATACACTGTTACAATCACTATTTGAAATTTTAATAGCTTTATCTAGGTCATATGTATAAATATTATATAAGATAGGGCTTATAACACATCCCTGGGGTAAACCCTTCCATAAAGTTCTATATTTATAGTTTGAATCGCCCGTATCAATTGTAATCACTCTACCAGACAAGTAATTAATGATAAAATTAGTGATCAAAAAAGGAACCTTAAGTTTTAGGAGTTTCAGCTTAAATACGTGAAGATCAACGTTATCATAGGCAGCATTAATATCTAAGAAAGCTGCAAGTGTTGATTCATTGTTACTAAAGGATAATCTTATATCGGTAGTAAATATACCAAGACTATCCATAGTGCTTCGTCTCTTTCTAAAACCGTATTGATTCGGAGCAAGAAATTCATTAGATTCAATAAACCATTCTAATCGATTTTTTATTAGATGCTCGGTTAATTTAGCAAGAACGGATGAGAGGGCTATTGGTCTGTATGAATTCGCATCAGAAGGAGGCTTATTTGGTTTTAATATTGGAATTACTTCTTGTAATTTCCACGAAGTAGGAATATTACCAGAAATCATAATGGAATTAATTAATCTTAAAAAATAAAGGAGGCTAGATTCGCTTAAATGAGATAGAAAGGAATATGGTATACCGTCAGTTCCTGGGGCAGAATCTTTAACATATGATAAAACACCTTTGAGCTCTGCAAGGCTAAAAGGGGAATCGAGACTGGTAAGTTGTTGCTAATAATTATCGGGGAAAGAGTATTAGAGATAAAGAAATTGGGAACTAGTGGAGGAGCAAGTTTATCTAAAAAGTTGTCTGCTACATCCTTTGGAAGAAAAGCTGCACCAGGTTCCTTAAAAGCTGATCGAAACCGGCGTATATTTTTCCAAACTACAGAGGGTGAGACGTCAGGTGATAAAGATGTACAAAAGGTCTTCCAGCCTTCCCATTTCTTTTTTTTAAGAAGCTTCTTTGTTTCGTTCATTACACAAGATAATAAATGAAAGTTTTCGTTCGTAGAATTTTCTCTATATAATTTTTCTGTAAGCTTTCTTTTTTTAACTGCTAATGAACACTCGTTATCCCACCAAGGGGGAGATGGAATCTTGTTACGATTATTATTTTTGACTGGGAACACCTTTTCTGCAGCTTGCTTGTTGCAAGCTCAAGTCAATGCAAAGGCTTCTGCACAAACTTCATGATTGTTTTGTTCGATGGACGGGAGGTTAGAAATTACCTGTTCTACTTCTTGTTTGTACAAAAACCAATTAGCATTTTCAAGTTTAAATTTCATTCTAGGAGAGCGATTATTAGTACGAGATGATGATGTTAAAGGAAAATTTATTAATATTGGAAAATGATCGCTACCATAAGTGGAAGATAAAGTTTTCCAAGAAATGATAGAAGCTAAATTAGGTGAACAGACGGAAAGATCGGGGGCACTGACTCCTTCGTGGGGTTGTGAGCGACGAGTTGCCTCACCACCATTTAAAATACACCAGTTATATTTATCGACCATATCTAACAGTCGAGAGCCATAATGATTACTATTGGAGCTGCCCCATGTTACATGCTGGGTATTGAAATCTCCCATGATTAAGATTGGATTGGGAAGTATAGAAAAAATTGATTCTATTTCATTAAATACACTTGAAGAGGGGTGTGGAATATATAGAGAAACAAAACATATGTTGTTAATGCAAACGGCAATAAATGAAAAATCAGAACTATGATTTGGAATAGTAAACTGAGAAAAATTAATATCATTTCTAATGAAGATTGCTACTCCGCCGTATCCGTCTGACCTATCTTGACGAACACTAGAATATTTGGGAATTCAGAAATTAAAACCGGGACGTAGCCAGGTTTCTTGTAATGAAATTAAAAAAGGTTGATATGTATTTGCTAAATAGATTATATCACTTTTTTTAGAGCTAATGCTGCGACAATTCCACTGAATTATTTGTGACTGATCCATTATTGTTGTTGTTTGAAGATTCATTTGCAATAAAAGTGGCAGTGTTGGACGGTATAGAATGTTCAGATATTACTTGTGAAGATTGAAAAAGAAAATTTACAAGAGTGAGTATTAAATCACGAGCTGACAAGTTTTGAAGGGAGTTGAAATCACACCCTGTTCCAACTGTTGGTAATGGAATATCATACTCATTTGTTAATTTCGCATGAGCTATTTTGTCAAATCCTTTACCAAGTTGTACAGGAGTTTTAGGCTTTAGAAAAACTGTCTTTTAGTAAGATTTGTTAACATTTTCTGGCTTTGGATTCAAGGCTTTTATTTGTGATGATGTAGTAGATATTGGAGTAGACAAAACATCAGAATATGATCTACCAATAGGAGGATGTAATTTCTGAGCTTCTGCATATGAGAGACAACTTTTGGCCATAGATTCTTTCAATATTTTTTTGTCTAAAAAACTCAGGGCATTTACGGCTAGTGGCAAAATGTGATCCAGAACAAAGGCAACATGTAACATTTTCTTCTTCAACATTGCAACAGTCACCAGAGTGACCATTACCACATTTGAAACAACGGGGAGAAGAGCTACATTGTGATTTAATGTGACCATATCGACAGCATTGAAAACACTGAATAGTCGGATAAATGTACAGATCAACAGGTAAAAAATTATAACATAAATATACACGTTTTGGTAAGACTTGGCCATCAAAAGTGAGCACTACTGTTTCAATTGGAATGTAACTTGTACTGCCATTATTAATTATTTTTTTATTCAATCTTCTTACCTTAAGAATAGCTCCACATCCAATGGGAATATTTATATTTTTTAAAATCTCTTCCTCTGACCAGTCTGTAGGGATTCCCCTCACAACACCCATACGCGTAATATTGTTAGTGGGAATGAATGACTTAAAATTGTTCTTTTTTATTTCAGGATTATTTAAGAATAAGTTAGCATCTTCAAAATGGCTAAATGCAAGTAAAAGTCTGTTTCTGCCAAAGCGCTTCAAGCTACCATTAACAATATTTTTAATGGAGTGCTTTTTTAAGAATTGTCCAAAGGAAACTGGGTGGATTGATGCTTTATTATTCGGATCTTCTTGAGTCTTTTGGATGTGAACAATAAAAGGAGAGGCATCTGATGACTGATAAAGAACTCTACCTATTGGCTGCTGTGATTTTGAATTTTTGTTGTCAATAGAAAATTGAGTATATTGTAATTGAGATGCTGAATTTGTAGAAGGGATTGGAAGTAAATTAGTTTGCATTGGTGTACTAACGGGTGCAGAAGCTAAATCGCATTTACAGTCTGTTTCACTACAATCAATTGAAGAATTCTGATGTTTCCTCTTTTTTTTATTACAATGTTTGCAGATCTTACTGGCATGTGTTTTTTTCTTTTAGAGTTAGTTCTGGGGTTCGAGCAATCGGAATCTAGTACAGATCCCTCTGTGTCTAGGCCGGAATTACAATCCACGGTAATTACATTCGACACCTGTGGGCCAGAGCCCCCAGGGTCGTCCGGATCAAACATAAAATGAGAACTGAAATTATAACTATTACTTACCAACTATATGAAGAATAATACAATATGTACACTAAATAGATATCAATAAACTAAAATATTAACATAATACTACTCAACTGATCCAATTTACATTAAAAAATTAATTTTATAAAATTCTCACTACCAACCAGACCGAAGTTTCCCGCGCTTTTTCTTCAAAGCTAGTTTCAAACTCAATACCACTGTCATGTCATAATATTTCAATGTCAAATTGACATAATGATTTTTTAACATTTTCCCCTTTCAGGAAAGGCAGAGGGAATAATGCCCAAACCACCTAGTCTTAAGTTTAATTAATCTTCTTTTTTTTACATTAAAATTTCGGTGTGACGCATTCTTATATTTCTTGGAGTTGTTGAGAAATAAAACAACGTGCCAAAAATTCATTAACATAATGATATAAATTGTGTTACCAACTCCGAGAAATATTTACCCTTAAAGATAAAAAATGCTCGAGGTCAAATGCCACGAAAATCGTTCTTTTGCAATTATCTCCATTTCTTTGGTTCAAATCACTTCAACACCTAATATAAAAATTAAAGATAAAAAAAATTGCCACAACTTTTTTCTCAACTTATTTTCTATACGCTCAACCCTTTCGAGATGGAGATAGATAGATAGATATATACTGTAATACAAGGTCAACCGTAAATTTCGGTGAATAATAACCTTGTATGCAGTTAAAGCATTAAAATATTATCATCAATAAATCTATCTCGAAAAGGGTTGAGCGTATAGGAAAAAAGTTCAGACAAAAGTTGTGGCAATTTTTTTTATCTTTAATTTTTATACTAGTTGTTGAGGTGATTTGAAAGTGATGCGTACATGGACTTGAAATGTCGCATGACGTCATGGGACATTTCAAATCCATACATCTCTGTAATGTTTTGTTTATGTGAAGAAAGAAAAAACATGTGTCCAATACTTTTTGATAATCTAACTGATGAACCAAGAAAAAAAGTTAGTCACTATCCGTATCTTTTTCAATATTTTACCAATAATTTTCAATGACTTCTTAACTCGATCAATTCATTTCATTTATTGAGTTGAAGTCATAATACCATTACGTCATATTAGTAATAGGATTTCCAATAGCAATTCGGAGATTCAATTAAAATCCATGCATGCGTGACAGATTGTTCGGCTGCCTTAAATATCCCTTTACATACGACTCATAAATTCTATGCTTAGTAAAGGTTTATTTCTGTGAAATATGCAAAGGATCAATCTGATATTATTTGGTATGTATAGAGCATGTAGTGTTTATGTAAGCAGTAAGGTCTAAAATATATTCATTTGAATGACGGCCTTTGCCAAAGAGTAGTATTTATATTATGGCCTTTACCCCAAAGTTCTGACTTTCAAGTTCTTTATTTATTTATTTATTGAAGGCTCTTAGTATCCACATCGCTGCCATCTGGTTATGCCTATATAGTAGACGGTCTAATTCAAATAGTTATTTTAACTAAAATCATTCAACTTTTAACAATTTCGCCTCTTGAAAGTCAACCCGTTGAAAATAATACCACACACTAGAGAGTTTATTTTGTGATTAAGCTTTGAACCATAAACACTTGTCATTTAGCAGACGGGACTCGAACTCGCATCCTTCCCTATCGGGGTGAATGCACTACCATTATGCTGCTGCGGCCCTGATGGCTGTGTCGAATTTTCTCAAGTGTTTCTTAGGCTGCAAGGCAGCGCCCGTCCCAGCCCGTCTGCTGTCTGGTCCGCGTGGAATATTTTCTTGTAAAATTCTCTATAGATTTAAACACCTAGCAGTCTAATGCTTAAAAAAATAAAAATATAACTTGTCATTTAGTTCAGTCAGGTTTTGTTTTTTCTGGGATAAAAAGTATTCTAGATGTTTCAATATAGGTAATAAAATAAACTATTTTGTGTCAAATTCAGTCATTCTTCCAAATCCGTCCAACCATTTTTCCGTAATTGAGAATCAACCTCCGTGGCCGAGTGGGTGGAACTGGGCAGATGTTTGTGTGATGAATACGACGAAATATGTATTTCTATATAAAATTACTTATATGTATTCTATCCGTTAACCTAGTATCCCATGACACAAGCCTACAGTGCTTACTTTGGGGCTAGACTAATTGGTGTGAGTGTTGGAAATATTTATTTCTTTATTATTTAACAAGCATACAAACTCTGACACTTATTTATGATGATTGTTGGTTTTTTTAGCTTTATCGTTTTTGATCTCGATCGCAATCGCAACATCAAATAGTAACTTAAAGAAAAAATTGTTACCCCCAAAACTATGGAAGGCGTGCAAGAACATAAAATGTCCACCCATAGAAGATCCTGTGTGCGTCAAGATCAAATATCGCAATGCGAAATTATTGAATAAAACAATATACATTTACATGATCAATAAATGTGAATTGGATTATATGAAGTGCCATCAAGGTAATTATAATATTTAAATTATAATTAATTAACTTTTTATAAAAGATATGAGTACGCAAACTCAAGTAATTCCTGTTTACTCTTGCCTTGAAAGTCCCTATATTATGTATCGAGGAATATAGACGCAGAAAGTGAGTGGAGCAATTCTCCAGACAACAACTCCAAAATCCTGAAATGTTCAAAGGACAATGTTAAAATTGGCCTAAGAACCAACACCAATTTGGCATTTATGATAATTCTAAGTATATTTTTTGCGATAATTATCAGTATTTAGATTGTGACGGACACTTCCAGTTAAGTAAGCTAAATTAAAAAGTTAAAAAATAATCTGAGACAATAAATACCATTTTATGTGTATAATCTATGGCAGCGCTGCAAACAAAACACTCTTTCTCTTTAATGCCGGCACTTCACTTGGCTATTCGTATATGCTATTTTAAAACATGACATCAGTCTGTCCTTTTCATTCCTTATTAAGCATGACAAGGACAAACTCTTGTCAAGTGAAGGGCCGGCATAAAACTCGTTACTCTGTGGTTGTGGTGCATGCAGTTTGCTTTCGTAGTAATCTGTGGCATTCGTGCATTCCAAAAAGTAGTATATTATACCGGAAAGTGTATTCTCGTTTCGGATTACCTGTTTTGTGTGTTTGTTTGAGATTGTTTTTCCTTTAATTTAACTATTTCGGCTATCTAATATGCCATCGATGTTACCAAAGAGCAGAGCCCTTATTACCAAGTGCTAGTGAACCTGTGCCACAACATCCTGAGAGGATCATACTGCCAAATTATTCAAGAACACCTGATACACATTCACGCTGCATATTTACATGTGATATTCAAATAAATACAATAAACAATATGATACAATTATGTGAAAAATAGTCTATAAATAAGAAACAAAACTACAGTTTTTATTTTATTCATGATTCGTAGCTAACCAAGTTTTTCCTAATAGTTATTCTTTAAAATCGCACCGAATAAAATGAATTAATTATAATATTAATTCACTTCATACTGAGTTTATACTAAATTCATAGGTTGACTTATGTTTCACTGAATATTAAACATAACCTAAAAAAATTTTTTGTTTTCCTAATAATTTAAATTCTCAGAAGTGTCCGTCAATAATCTTTGTTTTTACAGTCATTTACTTACAATTTTGAACCTAGAAAATAATATTTCATGATTGTTGGTTCTTAGGCTAACTATGTATGGACGCTGAGCAATGTCCTTTTATCCAGATATTAGGCAGGCTTCTCGAGATGGCAACCCTAGCTGCACCAACGTTTGTACACTCTGGGTACGGCCAGAGTGCACTCAGATTCAGATTCAGGCTCAGAAAACAAGCGCGAGAAATAAACAATGTAGTTAAAGCAGGGTGGCCATAGTGGCAGCAGGCAACCTGCTTAGATTACACTGTATATTTCTCGCGCTTGTTTTCTGAGTCTGAATCTGAATCTGAGTGCACTCTGGCCGTACCCTCTGTCTAGAGACGCTACCCGCTAAAAGCAGATAAAGATGTCGATTCTGCCGTGATTCTCTAAACTTAAACTTGACAACCGTGTATATTTGTCATTCTCTAAACATCATCATCAGAACGAAAAGGAGAGACTGACGTTAAATTTAGTTTTAAGTTTAGAGAATCATGGCAGAATTGACACCAATACTCCTGCACGCTGCACCTGTGACCTCCTGACAATCATTTTGAAGACCTTAACCCTCAAAATCTGTGTCCTAGGGAAATATGACGTGGCACCGCGTTACAACTGGAGGCCGTGTCCTCACACCTCTATTTATTTAAATGCTTTGTAGACATACAGCATAACGGCCGACGCGACCCGGAAGGGAGTAGGCACACACAGCTTTCCCCTCTTTCGAATTGGGCATACTAAGGATACATGTGTGCAGGATTTGGCGATGTGTTGGTCATTGTCTATGTATGAGTCTCGTTACTACAGTTTTGGTTTCTACGCTTGTATGTTAAACTGCATTAGTGTGCATATTCCTCCCGAAAAAAATGGCAGAAAGATTTGAATAGTATTATGCCGCAATGGCTACTCATGGGCCTTTTTTTTACGTCATGAAAATGCGTTACGCATACCCCACCACCTTGGGAGTGCGGCGGGGTTATGTGGGACTCCTTCCCTCCTTCTCTCGCCCACCCGCTCAGCCAGTCCGAGGGCTGGCATCCCCGCATGGGCCTGCCCTTCCGTGTTAATCTATGTCTGTAGATGAATTCTCAATTTCCCAGATGCCGAGGGAGTCATCGTGTCGAAAAAATACTGCGAGCACACCAAACCTTCGAGCTTAGGTACGATACCATAATTCATTTATAAACACTATTTTACTTAGCGAAATGAAATTCATCGCCCGTAAAATACATTTGCATGATATGATAATGCTGCACAAGATATGCAGGAGTTACCGTGAGAACTATGGTCTAAAGCAGCTGCCTCGATTTTACTATTCATTGGTATTGTTATGAAAGATATAGGTATATACTGAGGAACTCGATGGCGCGGGTGGCCAGCGCGTTCGGCTGCGATCGTTGAAGTTAAGCAACTTTCGCAGTGTTCGGTCATTGGACGCGTGACCAAAAATCTTGTATCTCGAGTTTCTCCGTACTTCGGAAAGTACGTAAAGCTGTTGGTGCCGGCTGCATCTGCAGTCGTCTATCCATAAGGAAGGCCTGTACCCAAGCAGTGGGGACATTAATAGGCTAATGATGATATATGTAGATATAGCTTTATTTATGATCTTTTCAATTCCACAGCCAAAAAGCGAGTTAAACGCAATGCGAATAAAGATGGTAAGCAAGTTAGATGTAGTTACATGAGTAATTTACCAGCCGGCCTAGCATAAGCACCGCGATATATAGCTCGTTTTTATCACGCTCAATTGTCAAATTACTATGGAGTTTGACAGTTAGGCGCAATAGATAACGTGATAACTTTTATTGCGGGGACTGGGGTGTCGCATCAATTGAAACGGAGCTTTTACGGATACGGATTCATATCAACAAGTAACGTCATCTGAAGAATAGTGGCACGTGCTTCAAATTATCAAATTGTATAAGATGAGCAACGATATTAAATAAACAAAAGTCTGGCAACTGTTTTAGTTTAATTTTTAAAATAAATATGATTAAATAAACAGTAAATTAAAATTTAAAAAAAAATTAACAATTAAATTGATAAACATTTTTGAATGAAGTTAAGATTAAAATATGTATCTATAACATATCCTGAAATCCGCATCCGCGGATGCAAAATGGATGTGAATCTTAAATAATCCGCATTCATATCCGCATCCGCGGATGTCAAAATTTTTGCATCCGCAACAACCTATTAGAATGCATTTTTCATTCAACATTGGGGTCCACTCTGGCATGACTCTTTAAACTTAAAACTAAATTTAACATCAGTCTCTGTACAGGACAAGGAAGCACTGTTGTCAAATTTAAGTTTAGGTTTAGAGAATCATGCCAGAATCGACACCAATATATAATTTATAAGGAAAACTAACGTCGTGTCCTTATCACCCTGGTTTCATAACTAATATCATAAATGCGATATTTAGTACTTTTGTTTATGTTTTTATTTATTTTTTAAGCATTTAACTGCTAGATGTTTAAATCTAAAGAAAAGTTTACTAGAAAAAAATCCACGCGGACCAGGCAGCGGACGGGACTTTGTTTGGCTTGGACTTTTTTACTTTTGTTTGTTTTTTACGCTTTCTCGCTTAAACCACTGAATGGATTTGGATGAAATTTGGTACACATATAGTTTATGACTAGAATTGAGACATATGATACTATATATCCCGAATTTTGTTATTTTTTAAGAACATTTAAACAGTTTTTCTGCATAGTCATTAATCATTAACGTAATGTGTACCTATGTGTGTGATTGTTTTTTACGTCTTTTAACATGTACTAATGAGCTATTTTCATTTAATACGAACAAATACAAAACCTGGTTATACGATATAAATGAAAAAAGTCATACATATTTGCATATTAAGGAGTGTCACCTAAGGTTAATATTTAAAATTTGAAACTCTTGGCCAGTGTAAAATTCATATTCATTTTAAATTGCACACGTATGACGTTCAATTATATGATTGTTCATTATTAAAGTATAATCTCTAATTAATTATATGCCATGTTACTCGTTCATTTGGCCCGTTCCACATACTTTTACGCATGCCATTTAATATTAATTTGTGAGAAATTTTGTTGGTAACATAATTAGTAACAATTATATTTAGCAAGTACTAGCATATATTCAACATTATATAATTGTTTTTTGGTACAAATAAAATAAAAAAAATTATAAATAGAAAAAAATCCACGCGGTCCAGGCAGCAGACGGGACTCGAACCCGCACCCTTCGCTATCCGGGCGAATGCACTGACCAATTATGCTACCGCGGCCCTAATGGCTGCGTCGAAATTCTTCTAGCCATTCTTAACCTGCAAGGCAGCGCCATCTCTTCGCATTATAGGTAACCCACAATGTCAAATGAATACTTTTACAAGCTTTAAACATTCGAAAGATTTTTTTTAGATTTAAACATCAAACAGTTCCATGCTTAAAAAAATAAAAATTATAAAAATAAAATAAATAAATAAAATTCCGGAGGTGTAAAAGGCTGAGGTATATTAAAAAAAACTGAAGTTAACGCGATCGAAGTCGCGAGCGGCCACTAGTTTCATATAAAGCATGATAAAGACAGACTGTTGGCAAGTTGAGTGGTGTAGAGGCTCCAGACGGAGAGGAGACTCCCCCCCGTTGGGAGATGCCATCCGCCTGGAATACCTCTAAAGGCACTCGCCAATTCTCGGTTTGAGGTCCCCTGAGGATCTCGCCGTCCCCAAACCCTCTCGGAATGTAGACTTTCAAAACTATCGCCACTGGCTAAAAATCTCAAAGTAATTGCTAGGCGAATTTTGGCTGGAATTGCTTCCCTTTTAGGCGTATTCTTCTTAGTTATAAATGGAGCAATTCGTTGTAGTAAAATATTCAAAGTCTATTATAGACATTCTTGTAAAGTTGTTAAATTGACCCGAGGGTTCCACTATCAGTTCCGCCAATTGATTTTCCATGGTGCTTCTGAAATATAAAGATATATATATATGTATGATTAACTAATCATGCAGGTAAAAAAAAAGTAAGATAAATAAAAAATCAACTGTTAAGTCTTATTGGCCTTTTCTTATGTTTTATTTACCTGCTTCTATTGCGGTGCATAGTAACCAACCACCATCTTCCCCTTCGCCATGGCTTAAGAAATTTCTTTCTATGGTAAATGGATAAAAAATTATAATAGCTCACAGCACAAAGGCAAACAGCAGCAGCAATTTCTACGTCCATTGTCACAGAAATCTTCCGTACAAATGAAAACGCGAGTGTGTACACGTACGCTCTCGCCGAGAGCATCATCGGCCGAGACTCTCGACGAGAGGCTCTCGACGAGTGTGTACAGCCGCCGTCTGATGTTATACAGTTCATCTGCGACCAACAGCATACAAATACAAAAAAAATGTTGTCAAGATTATAAATAGGAAATACGAGTAGCTAATTGAATTGCAGGCATTTAAGTGTTTATTTTGGTCTGTGCCTTGGGGTGTGTTTTAGAAATATTTGGTTATAGAGTTCTACAAAGCTCGCGTTACCGGGCCCCATTATTGTGTGTGATAAGGATTGATCGCCATGCGTTGGTTTTGTTTACGTTAACTGACCTGAATCCAAAGGACTACATCGAAACCGTGATCAAAACAGCTACACGCAAACTCGGAGTCCTGAACAAGGTGCGGCGTTTTTTCACGCCCTATCAACTGTGCTTGTTGTACAAAACGCAAGTGCGGTCCTGCGTGGAATATTGCTCGCACCTCTGGGATGGCTCCGCCAAGTAATTGCTCGATGCATTGGATAGGTAACAGTGGCGCGCGATCCGCATCATAGACGATGAGGAGGTGACTAAACACCTTGAGCCTCTTCAATTACGCCGTGACATGGCGTCACTAAGTGCGTTCTATCGTCTGTACCACGGCGAGTGTTCTGAGGAGTTATTCTCTCTTATCCCACCTTCCCCTTTCCTTCAGAGGAAAACGCGCGCTGGCCTACGTTGTCACCGTTTAACTGTGGCCACAATTCCAACGCGTACAAAGAAATTTGGTGACTCAATTCTTTGTCGCACTATCCGTAAATGGAATGTTCTGCTCGCTCAAGTGTTCCCTCCCTCTTTCAACCTGGGATCCTTTAAAAGAGGCGTGAAGAAGCAACATGCAGGCCGGCAGAGTGAGGATGGCTGGTGTGGCAGGTAGAACTGCAGTATCACCTATCTTCGCGTCTGGACTTCACCTTCACTTAACATCAGGTGGGGTGGAGTCATTTGTCAGACCTATCTATAAAAAAAAATGTGTGTGTCAGCTCCGACGCACGACTGGAGTTTACTCCTTAAGTTCGATCACGAATCTTGAAAATACCAATGGTTGTACCATACCTCGTTGTCCCCATTGCTCTATCAGAAACAATATCTAAATTCAGTTCAGATTTTAAAAATTTTATTAATGTCAATCCGTCATCTTTGTTTGTCTAAGTTGCACGATATAGGATGCGCACCAAAAACGTAACGAGGTCATTCATCGGTAGATTTTACTCCTCACATTTTTCTCATACCGGGCCCCTTAAATAATATATAAATAAATAATAATAATAATAAATATATATAATAATAAATAATACTCCTTGAGAATCGATTTGCATATATGCAAATCGATTCTCAAGGAGTAAACTCCAAAAAGTCTTAACTTTTGTTTAATTCTTTGTTTCGAGAGTAAGGGGCCCGGGATGTAGTTTTTGTCATTCCTATTTGTAATACTGGTGACTGAACACGTTACTTAAATATAACCGCATTTCAATTTCGCCACCCTGACCCAACTTCTGTTCCTTTTTATTTATTTATCAATCTGGTTTCCAGCTACAAACAATGCGATGGCTGCAGGCAGTGTTTCTAAGAAACATGTTGTGCGACGACAGTATCCTCCTAGCGGCATGACAGACAAAGATTACTTAACAGAAGACTTAGATGACAGTAAAATACATTAATTGTTCGCACAGGTGTCCCCCCCCTTTCCCCTCAGGTTCGAGTGGTTTAGAGGCTCCAGACGGAGAGGAGACTTCCCCCGTGGGGAGATGCCATATGCCTGGAATACCTCTAGGGGCACTCGCCAATTCTCGGCTTGAGGTCCCCTTAGTATCTCGAAGTCCCCAAACCCGGTGACGCTGTAATTGTCATCGACCAACAGCAAAATAAAATGAAAAAAATAATCCCCCTTCCTACAGAAGTATTTCTGCAGGCCGGCAAGGTGACCTGGCGGGTGCGCGGCCGTAGGTAGGGCCCTGTTCACATCAGCGAGCTCCAGGGCTGGCTGAAGAGGACAGGGAGGAGTCCCACATACCTTCTTCTCGCTCCCCCAGTGGTTGAAGAATGCGTAAGGCATTTTCCAGACACAAAAAAACGCAAGTTCAAACAAAGTTTCAAGAACATTTGCCAATATAATAGTTTGGTACCTATTACATGTCTTTTTCCAATATAACCGATAAAAACCGCGCCCGCCGCCCGCACCTCTCATGGTCCCCGTTGTTGTCCTCCCCGACACCCTTTACCCCGTAGACGAGGTCACAGTCAAACGGTCTACCTATAATCAGAATAGGGGTGATGACGGGGTACAGTAAACTAAATTCTATTTAGTCCGTCAGTTAGATGATCAAAAAATAATGGACACGTATTTTTTCTTTGGGCAATCAACCAAAAAATGACAAAGTTATAGCGCGTCAAAGTTTGGGAGTAGGGGGTGACGTCACTTTTTAGTGAATTTTCACTTAAAAGTGTACCAAAACGTGACGTCATGCGATTTTTCAAATTAATATATCTCTGCAATATTTATATTATGTGAAAAAAGAAAAAATACGTGTCCAATACTTTTTGATAATCTACCTGATAAATGAAGAAAAAAAAATTAGTCATCATCCCTATTGTTACGTAATTGTCTCACGAAGCAACACGAACTAGTCCCGAGGCGAGGCGATTATGTTACGATTGAGGTTAACCTTTACATATTTCGTTTCATCATCATCATCCCGCCCGCATCAGTCTACTGCTGGACATGGGCCTCTCCCATGGCACGCCATACAGCTCGGTCTTCTGCTCTCCTCAACCAATCATTGCCCGCTGCTTATCGGATGTCATCCATTTAGTCGCAGGACCACACTACGTTTGTTGATTCGCGGTCTCCACTCCAGGACTCGTCTGCCCCCCCTGCGCGGGCCATCCTGCGCACGTCTGCGGGGTCCCCGCGATACCTCGGGAGACATCTGCCGTGGAGCCCCGACTAGGCTGGGAGGCTGCTGAGTGCAGAAACGCGGAAGGAATCCCTAAACGGGGATCCCGCGGCTTCGTACTAAGCAGCTTAGAGGGTATTCGCAGGGTTTTTAGTGGATATTATGCCGTAAAGCGCCCGTAAGAGTTACGGGGTCCTCAGTGGGCAGCCACTGCGGGGGCCCGAGAAGCTTGCGGGAGCTAGGTGTGAGGTCCGTTCAGCGAGCCTCTTAAAGGCGCCGTCGCAGTCGTCTAAATAGAGTTTTTGCATGCGTCACAAAAAAAAAACAGGACTCGTCTGCCCCAGTGGCCATCCGGTCTACGGCATATATGACCAGACTTTTTTTTATTACGCAGGTAAAACCTCTATTTACAGACGTTTGCGCCCTTAAGGGGCACACTAACGAACGGACCTCACACCTAGCCTCTCGCAAGTCTCACGGGTGCGAAACGGATAAGCCGTTAAGCATTTCGCGCGGCTTACGAGCGCTTACGGCATACTATCCGCTAAAAACATCCTGCGAATACCCTCTACGCTGTTTAAGTGCGGAACCGCGAGATGCCCGTTGAATGACTTCACCGAGTCTCCGCACCCAACAGCCTCCCGGCCTAGCCGGGGTATTTCGGGAGATCCCGCAGACGTGTGCAGGACTGCCCGCGCTGGGAGCTAAGTGCGCGGCCTATTGCCCAGCGCACCGCTCTCCGTCCGCTGCGGAAGGGCTGCCTAGGTGTTTCCCTCGCAGGCCCTATATATCCTATATGACCAGCCTACTGCCACTTCAGCTTGCTTACCCGTTGAGCTATGTGTGTAACTTTAGTTCTCTGGCGAATGACTTCGTTACAGATCCGATCTCACAGAGAAATCCCGAAAAATGTGTCATTTATCATAGTTCTATGTAATTTACAGCTAACTTCTTATTTCCATACAGCTCACGAAGAACAGATTATCTTTAAGTAGGTAGGTAATTAATGGTTTTTGATGTTTCAGATGAAAAGCGTATTTCTGACGATTGTAGCGATGAAAACAAACCAGGTAATTCTTTTGGTAAACACCCTGGCTAGCTTCTGAGGAACGATCATAGGCGCAGTAGTAATGAAAATCACATAATAGCAAATCTGATTTTAACTAAGTACATCGTTTACGCAAAAAATTACTAAGCATTTAATTTTTTAAATAATTTATAATCCGTCAGAAAATAATGGATTTATTAGTGTCGCCGCACACGCCACCGGCCACAACCACAAAACACCGCCACCGGCATATTTCTTGTAGTAGTTTTCATATATTTCATATGGACTCGCCACACGCGGTTAACGCCAGTGACCGCCACACGCTTCGTGGCGAGTCCATATAAAATGTATTAAATAAAGTTTTTCTGAATTACTCCTTTGAAACGCGCGCTCCAGCTCGATGCTATATTCATTCTCGGGGGCGTTTCCGAAACCAATTCACTAAAGTTGCTGTATCTTCGTCATTTTTATTCCGAATTCAATCATTTTATCCTAGTATTTACAGCGTTATTTTGTCACTATACTTCTGCATACCCCCACAAAAAACAAGACTGATCCTCATTTTACATACAAAAATATCTACTGCGCAACTTTGTTTGTCTGTGGGTTTGCTCAAGAAGTTTGCCGCTATCTTATAGCCCCCTTATTAATGAACAAGGAATAAGCTTAGACTAGTTACGCTGTGTTTTGTTCATGCCACTCAAATGCCATTTGTCATTCAATAGACAGAGACAAAACATGGATTAACTAATCCATGCGTAGTCTTCGTTTATTAATAAGGGGGCTGGAGTTCCAATTGTCTGTAGACATTGGGTGTATTCCGTAATGTATACCAGTATACTGGCCAGTGCTAATAACGTCATGAATCGACGCTATACTGGTGAATTGTTCCAAAATATATTGGCCAGTGCACTGACGAGATTTTTTATTCACCTCATCAACTAAAAGGAATTCGTTTTGTTCGGATGCCATTATTATTCTTCAAATAAAAAAGAAATTAAATTCGAATGCATGCATCTCACGCACGCTCGGTCATATGTCATATTCGTTTTCCCGGTAAAATTATGGTAGCATACCAGTACAAGATGGCGTCGGATTCGTGACGTCATTACCACTGGCCAGTATTCTGATGTATATTTCAGAATACACCCATTATCATCAGAACCCCCATCTCGAACAACAAGCGAGAAAGTATTCGTATCGCCATCGTCAATTTTTGTATGAAAAAGGTAGTTAGTTCTTACGTCCGATAGGGGCGCTGCTTGGTTTTCATAGAAACTTTAACGATGCGATACGTTACGGAGCTGTCTGAAATCGTGCTTAGGCCTCTGAAGAAATCTTATGTTTGAAAATCATCGTACGGCGTCATCGTACGATCGGTGCCAACGACGCAATCGTTGGATGACGCGACGAATTTATGCTTTATCATCATCAGTGGTATAGAATCACACTAATGTGTGTGATTGAATTAATGTTGTTGACAAATCTACTACATAAGAATCATGCTTTGTTTTAGGTTGTAACAAACTGCAAAGGGGTAAGTAATTATATTGAATTCGTTATTGGAGTTATTCCTTAATCCCAAAATCAGTGTTTGGAAAATACGCAGATGAAGTATTGGAGGCCCTGGGCATATTAGGATATTGAGGCCCTTATGACCCCCTTTTGGTGATTTAACAAGAACTAGGAACTTTGTATTTGTGAACTGATCTGCCCACCTATCGATCACGGGGCCCTGGCCACTTGCCCAAAGTGCCCACTGGGAAAGACGGGTCTGATTAGTTCACATATTTATTCTAATATTTGTTCATAAACTTGGAAATCCCAAATCCTCTCCCAGGAAAACTATCCCAAGTTGGGATAGTTTTATTCCAGAAAATATACTTAAAGGGGAAAAGAAGGATGGAATGGGAAGCTTCTATGGGAAACCATTGAAGTCACGCAGATGAAGTCGCGGGCACTTGCTTGTAAAAAAATAAGTAAAGGACAATACCCATTTTGCTAAGCGCCGTCACAAACTTGTAACAAGTTAAACGGGATTTACACTACCCATTTTAAGGGCCCAATCGTAAGGGTGGGCGTGGCCTCTAGCTAGGGTAAGCTATTATACATTATATAGTGTACTACTTTATACATTGTTACTGCTTTTTGTTTTGCTTTTTTCTGATTTTGGTATTTGACTTGTTACTTGATTCAAGTTTTGACGTGACAACGTCTTAAATTAGGTTGCGGCTGGGAGTCACTTATGAAAAAGTGTAACGCTCGGTAACGTTACGATGAGTCTCTCGTGTTAAGTTTAAGTTTACATGTACAATGTTTTAGTAAACAAAATATATTTCTATAGTTAAAATTTGTGCAATTCTTATTTTCATTCAATTCCTTGTTCCTATTGTGCAATTTAATTATATTCATATCAATAAATATTCTACCGAGAAAAAGACGTTGTCACGTAAAATCTTCGCCCGTAAAACCGACTTTACAGGCAACCATTTTTTTGTTTTATTTTTAGATACTGCATAATATTTGCCTTTGGAATATTGTAATAACTGATATACAGAACCTGATAAAGATGATATAGCACACTGTATTGCTTCTAACCTGACTTCCATAAAATTTCATAACAATGTAATTGTAGGCACTCAAGGCCTAAAACCTATATATTACTTTAAGATGATGTAAACATTGACGTACATGACTGTATGTTGCCAAAATAAATAAATAAATAAATTATAACACCGCGCCGATCGCTCTCTCGGGGATCGATCGGGTCCCTTACTCCCTAACTCACATAATACCACCCTTAGTCAGGGTAAGGGTCCCTTAAAATTGGGTAGTGTAAATCCTGCATTTAGGAGAATGCCCATTTTACTATGAGTGCCGTCTCAAACTTGTAACAAGTTACGACTAGTACAGACATGATGTATTTATTGTCTCTAAACATATTTCATAAATATTTTGTTTATATTTTATTTAAGGAATTTCTGTACAATGAAATTGTAGGCTTTATTAATTACTTATCTATCTAGTTAAAACCATTTTTAACAGGTACTTTGTCGTATACTGCCGTCCTCAAACTAAAATGCGGTTAAGTGACATGTGGTAGATTTTTGACTCTTAAATTGCATCATATATACTTTTTAATTCTCAATCGATCTGTCTTTATTAAGTATTCATATCTTTTATAGTTTAATTCTAAAAATCCGTCATGTCATGAATGGTTACAAAACAGCAATAATTTACAGTTTACGTGCCGTTTTTTGGCCATATCTCAAAAGTTGGTTTTGTCATTTAGCCGCGTTTTAGCTTGAGGACGGCAGTATTGCCTTTCTCATTTCTTTTTACTTGCACGTGAATCACGAGATAGAAAACTACTGCCATGCAGATAAAATTAGTATTTTAGAATACCTTTCATTTGTGATAGGATCCAATGTGTTAAAACACACTTCGGACGATATTGGACATTCTACTTTTAAGAGGTCTGCATTTCTTGGGTGCATATGTCACCAGACTTTTAACATATTGCAACTAATAGGTGCCTAATGAAAACATTTATTTTTATTTCAGAAAGAGATTCATATTACAACGAAGGTTTGCTTACGTTTGTTACCTAAATTAGTGTTCCTTTTTACTAGTGTCCGACCGAAAGTTCGGTTTCGGTTCCGGTTTCGGCCGAGTTTCGGCCTAAAATTAAGTTACGGCGGCAGTTTCGGTTTCGACCAAAATTAGCCGAACCGAAACCAAACCGAAACTGATTTCGGAAGTTGTCGTGCACGCTAGCCGTACTTCATTTCTTGCACAGCAGTCCATATCCTATATCGCGAAGTGCAGTTTCCTATATTGAGATAAAAGAGATTGATGATTATTCTAAGTACAAATACAAACGAAAGTATTAATTAATAAGATTTTAAAATACCCATGGGTATTTAATGATACAGTACAGTACAGGATAAAAATTTCGCTATGAGAACTTAATTTGAAAAAATAATAAAAATATAGTTAATATTTTTTTATATTATATGACCACCAAGTGCGTGGCGCGAACTAAGCGACGCGCAGAGTGTGAAGAACACGCATTGCCACTCGCGCTGCCGCATGCCGGTCCTTTGACTTTCGCACAAAAACCGCTCTTGGTAATTAACATTGTGACACGAAAAAATACACTTAAAAGTTATAATATTTATGTTTGACCACGCATAACTTTTTACAGAGAAGTAATTTTTAATTTTTTTTTTTACTTTTACTCGTATAAATGTCACGAGAGCTTACAAAAGCTTAGAATGATTTAATTTATCAATGTATTAAGTTACGTTAAAACTCGTAGAACAAACGTTGTTGTGTACGCTATCAACGCCTGCGTGATTTCTAAAATTTATTTTACAATTAACCATATACCTATATAAAGCCAGAATTGACATTTACAGATTCTAGGCATAAGGATTACTCTAAATATGGTAAGTTTACTCAGAAACTTCAAATCAATTAATTGCTTCATTATGTCACGTGTTTGTCTCATTTTATTTTTCTTCTTTAATGAATAGATCCGAGTACTTTATCTATAATTATTTAAATATTTAAAAGCGGTCGGCCGCGACTTAGTCAGCGTTAACTTTTAAATTTTTGAGAATACCACAGGAATCTGAAACTCAAACAACATCTTATCAAAAAAGCATACTATTCCGTAAATGTATTTATGAATGTTAAGTGAAACTGTCACAAAAAACTCACTAACTTGTTTGAAACTTAAACTTTTTATTAAGATATTATACTTGCAACACCCTGACAGGGTCATGTATAGGGTGACCATTTAAAAATTTGATCAGTCCTGATACAAAGCCGGACATTTCGATAAAAGTCCGGACATTTTAGTCACAAAATGCAAAGCATCACCCATTTAGTTACAGTGATATTAAACGCGTGGTAGCAGACGCTCGGATCGCGAGGGGGGTCTCGTTGTTGATTTTAAAAGAATTTATATTTTGTTTTAAATTAATGAGAACTTATTAAAGATTATTTGACTTATTTGATATATTATAAGTAGTTTTACTCGTATTGAATGTAATTAAAAAAGCAGGACAAAGTGCGAACCAAAGGCAAAAATTCCGGGCATGTCCGGACAAATCCGAACGGATGGTAACTCTGGTCATGTATCATGCTAAAATAATTGGTTAAGATCAGTTAATCTTTCCAGATTCAAGGAATGAAGATTACTCCAAAGAAGGTGTGTAAGCTTCGAATCCATTTAATGCTTTATTAAGTAATGTATTGTCACATTCTGGAGGAGTTCTATGGTGCAAGTGGTTAGCGCGTTTGGCTACGATCGTTGCAGTTAAGCAATTTTCGCAGTGGCCGGTAATTGGATGGGTGACCAAAAATTTACTATCTCGAGTTCCTCCGTCCTTCAGAAGGTACGTTAAGCCGTTGGTACCGGCTGCATCTGCAGCTGTTAGCACTCACTAATCCGCGCTGGACCTGTGTGGTGGGGCATTTCATGGCCCAAATCTCCCTATTCTATCCTTATGGAAGGCCTGTGCCCCAGCGTGGAGTCATTAATAAGCTGATGATGATGATAAATTGATATTTCCAGATTCAAGAAATAAAGATTCCTCCAATGACGGTATGTATATTAACGTACTCAGAAGCGTTAAATCAGTTTAATGCTTAATTAAGGTCTCAGACGCTGTAGGTAATCAAATCATCGTTTAGGCTCGTATTACAGAATGACGACGCGACGTGTTGATCTTTACTTGAGTACAATTAAAAAGGGATGTCGCTATGTGCTATATAAAGCGACATCCCTTTCTAACGGTACTCAAGTAATGATCAACATTTAGTGTCGCCGCACACGGGCCACCGACCACAACCACAAAACGCCGTCACTAGCATATTTCTTGTAGTTTTTGTACATTTTATATGGACTCGCCGCACACGGTACGCGCCGGTGGCCGCCACATGCTACAAATCGTCGTTGCTTGCTTCTTGTGGCCCGCACCGGCCACTTAATGCGCCGATACAAAACGCCGCCACACGTCACTCGCGCGATTCCCCACCCCTCTCTCCCTTAGCGTCGCCGCACACGGGCCACCGACCACAACCACAAAACGCCGCCACTAGCATATTTCTTGTAGTTTTTAAACATTTTATATGGACTCGCCGCACACATTACGCGCAGGTGGCCGCCACACGCTACAAATCGTCGTTGCTCGCTTCTTGTGGCCCGCACCGGCCACTTAATGCGCCGATACAAAACGCCGCCACACGTCACTCGCGCGATTCCCCACCCCTCTCTCCCTTACCTTAGTCGGCCGCTGTCGCGCACTTCAGCCACTTTAGTAGCCGCTTCTAGCGTCTCGTGGCGGCGTTTGTGGCTGTGGCGTGCGGCGACACTCATTCTGTAATACGAGCCTTAGAATACCTATAAAAATGCTGTGTACATATAAGTTTTTAATATGTTTTCTTCAGTTCCTAAGCTATATTTTTACTAGCCCGTAAGACACCACGATTATTGAAAAATTTCTCGATAGATTTAAAAGTATTAGTTTTTTTACTTAATGCCGCAACTAAATTTGGTGGTTATTCTGTATTCAGGTGCACGGAAGACATTACTCGAATTCGGGCACCCGAAGTAGGGCTGCCATCTCTAAAATGTTGCAACCAGGATAAGACGCGTGATAACCCCGGATTTTGGAGCCCAGAACCCGGACAGACCAATAAAAAACAGTTAAAATATCACAAATCAACTTTTTTATGTTGATCTAGGCAAAAGAGCTAGCGGTCTACCTCATAATAAGTGGTCACTGCTGCCCATGGACACCAAGGGCCAAGCACCAAGGGCCATTTATGCGTTGCCGTAAATTTTTAAACCCGGACTACAAATAAAACCCCGCCCGGATGCTCCCCGGACGCGGCGTAAACTAGGACAAATCCGGGAAAACCCGGACGGATGGCAGCCCTAACCCGAAGCAACATTTACACTGGAATACGGGCTAGATAAATATGCAGCAGCCGTAAGAGTTAAAAAAGAACCAAAATGATTTCTAATACAATTTTTTATAAAAAATACAATTCTAATTCTTAAAACTACACACATCAAAAGTGTCTAGGGATCAAGCATTTTTATGCGGATTTCTTGAGATTGAGATGTGGCTTTGTAATAAATTTATGATTTTATAAATTTATATGGATCCTTTTTGGTGCATTTCATAATTTGAATCAGGAACTGTGAATCAAATTCGAGTAAAAGATGAAAATCAGCTGTCAATATTTTCCCTATAAAAACATACAACGCATTGAAGCCATTATTAGTGCTACTGTTTCCCTACTACTGATTAAAACCAACGTTATTATGGAGCGGCGACGTCATTTAAGCAGGGAAGAAATGCTCAGAGCCGTGGGAATGATAGAAGCTGGTTCCCGGCAACGTACTGTGGCTTTAGCTCTGAATACAAGTCAGAGTGTTATCAGTCGACTTTGGACACGATACCGAAGCACTGGTACCGTGGCTGAGCGCCATGGAGGACGGTATCGCTGCACCACACGGAGACAAGACCGATACATTCAAATCTTAACTCGAAGAGCTCCAACAATAACCGCCATGATGTTAGCCGTGAGGCTTCATCACTCTTCAGGGAACTTAATTAGCGACCAAACAGTCAGAAACCGCTTGCATGAAGTGAACCTTCATTCCCGAAGACCGCTACGGGTACCACCTATAGCAATGCACAATCGTAGGATTCGATATCAATGGGCTCTTGAACACAGAAATTGGGCAGAAGAACAATGGCGTTTCGTGTGCTTTTCTGATGAGTCTCGTTTTGGTATGAGACCGGATACAAGACGTATACGACACTGGAGAACCCCTGGACGCCAACAGCGATTAAAATCCTGCCAGGAAGTCCATCCTTATAGTGGTGGAACCATCATGGTATGGGCGGGTATTTGGATCGGCGGAAGAACTGAGTTGATTTGGATCAGAGGCAACCTCAACGCTCAAATTTATGCTGAGACGATTGTATCAGACGTCATCGTTCATCTACAAGTGCAAATCGGTCCCTTATTTCAGTTAATGCATGATAATGCACGACCGCACACCGCAAGAGTTGTAAGACAGACTCTCGCCGCAGCTAACATCAATGTCCTGCCCTGGCCTGCTCAGTCGCCAGACTTGAACCCGATTGAGCATGCATGGGATATGCTACAGAGAAGAGCTCTGCCGAATATGGAGGGTATCCAGTTGCAAGAAGACCTTTTTTTGTTGTTGCAACGAACATGGGCGGCCATTCCACAGCGTGATTTGGATGAACTCATTTTGAGTATGCCAAACCGATGTTCTTGTGTTGTTAGTGTTCGCGGTAGAAATACGGATTATTAATTGTTTAAGTTACCCAATAAAATTTTAGAGAAAACTGTTATTTCAGTCTTTTTTTCGAACTTTTGTGTTAGTGGTTCAAATGTCAAAAATCCCTTTATTAGGAAAATGGCAAATTTCTTTATTAATGCAAAGGTGACTTGGTTTATCGTTACTGTGACAAACGAAAACACTTTATTTGATGAATCCTTAAAGAAAATTTTAATTAATATCAATCAGGAGAAAAGTTATTGCAAAAATATATGTTGATCCCTAGACACTTTTGATGTGTGTAGTTGACCCGATCGAAGTGTGAAACGAAGTGGTGAGGGCATGGGCAGCATGAGGGATTGGAAAGGCGCGGGGGGCTTGGCGGTGTACGTGTGGGTCTCACGTTTATGCAGTATCGGCGTTTGGTCATATTACAACATGTACTGTGTGAATTGTAATACGCTGGCAATCCGTAACTGGCTGGAAGACGGTGTTGTGTAAATAAAAGGAAATCTACCAAAATACGGGCGTACTCGACTTCTTTCATTTACACTTAGTTGATTACCCGAATTCCATTTTCACTCGTATTCGGGCTAACGACCAATTGTAATGGCGGCATAAATATTCGGGTAGTTTTCTTTTGTTTACCCATCACCGTCTTCCAGTATAAATATGGTTAACATTGACCGAATTCAAGTTACCTATATCTTTCCTGCACCCGAATACCGGCTAACTCGGTTACTTTAAACAAAAACCGGGGCTGTGAGCATTTGGACACGTAGTTGTATTTACGTCGTCGCTACCAGGGAAATATGAAATCATCGTGTAAATGGAGAAAGTTGTAATCTACCTTCAATGTTTAACAAAAATTTGCTTAATTGACATTTCCAGATTCTAGAAATGAAGATTTCTCCAAGGAAGGTATGTAAGTTAACGTACTTAAAAATGTCAAATCAATTTAATGCTTCATTAAATGACGTCTTATCTCATTCTTTGTTCTTTTACAATGAACGACGACAGCACAATACATACAAGAGCAGTACTCCGACTTCATACTAGCGCCCGAATCGACGCACGCACACAGACAATCGTCATTTACACGGCCGCTAACCAATCTTGACAAGACAAATCAACGCAGTGCCTGCCACGTCGCGCGCCGCCGAGACTGGTCGTTGGCAGAGCTTAGTCAGCTGCGCCGCGCCGCCGAGACTGGTCGTTGGCAGAGCTTAGTCAGCTGCGCCGCGCCGCCCGCGCCGTCTGCCTCCGTTTCGATTCCGTAATGTGGCAATAGTAATTATACACATACAATAAAAATCTACACAAATATGTTTTACATTTTGTAGGTATCAACCCTAGCGCTCCGCTCAGTCGTAGGTATCTATTTCAAGAAAACTGCTGAGTTACGCTACTGCTCTTGTATGTATTGTGACGACAGAGTCTGTTTATTATTAAAGTAGCTGTGGCCTGCGGTGTTACCCACGGTTTATTAGGGATATTTTCCCGCAGTAAAACGTAGCCTATGTGTTAATCCATGGTGTCAACTAACTCCATACCAAATTTAATTAAAATCGCCCTAGCCGTTTAGACGTGAAGAAGTAACAAACATACACACTCACACACTTTCGCCTTTATAATATAGTGTGATTTTAGTAGGTAGGTTAATATGAAATTATTGTGTGAAGGTGAAACAGTTGCAATACTTGTATAACAATGCATAAGACTTAACCAAGTGCAAAAACATAATAAATATCGACAACTGAAATAACTATTATTAACTTATCGAAGCAAGGAAAACAGTTTAGAAGTGTCTACATGACGTACATCACATTCCATAACTCTTATTTTTTAGAAAAGGAAACTCTTTTTAGTGGACTAAAGTAGAGAAGTATAAAAGAAAACCATAAGCCTTTTCCAGAGAGTCGAAACTATTGTCATACCAAATTTCATCGAAATCGTTTCAGCGGTTTAAGCGTGAAGCGGTAACAGGTAGATGTATAAAAAATCTCTACTAGTTAATGCGATTTGATTAAATTTACAAACAAAAAAAAACGTTTATTCATTAGACAATAATTGCTATGTTAATTATTTGAAAAGCAAATAATCAAAGTGTTTATTACTTAAGTACTTAAATAAAATATCTTTATAAGTATAATGCAATTCAACTAAGAATAGGACCGACTGGTCGCCATAATTTGACGTCATAGCTGTCAATTCAAACCAAATAGGTAGAGTGAGCAAAAAACAGGTTTTATTTAATAAACTTCTAACTAAGATTAAGTGAGAAAAAACATCAGTTTTTTATTAAAATATTTACTAAGATTGAGAAAAAAAAACAACTAATTTTTGATAAATATATATTTATTAAGACTGTGTGAGAAAAAACATAAATCAGAATCTAGCTCTTCAATTCCGCTCATCTCTGCATTACCGCCGGAGTAGTTATGAATAATCAAGCACTATTTATTACTAGGTCACATACAAGCATGCATCCTTTAGGTAAACGAGTTTTAAATTGAGTTTCTAACCGCAATTTAAAGTGACATTTGGTTGACGGTTTAGGTTATCAACCATTCATAGCCAAAACTAAATGAATGAAAAAAAATATCAACCAATATTAATTATCAATATTTGTTATTGTTTGTTTACAAATGTGTGGTTTTAATCTAGAATTAGCAGAGTGCTAAAAAAGGATTCCAAGGTTTTTTTTTTGCAAACTGTACTTTTTAAGCGACATTTGACAGTTGGAGGTCATTGGCTTTCCTATTCTTATTTGAATCGCATTATACTGTTTCTTCTGAAACAGCTTGAAAAGGACTGAATGTATGTTAGTTACATATTTATTAATTACACTGCTGAAATCACAGTGATACTTTAATTTAGGTACACGTGCTACAAACAGTAAGTACCTATTCAATAATATAAAATTTTCACATACTACCTAGTGTTTAGAAAAATATAGTTCCGTAGTAAACAAGCAAGACTCATAGTTCCGTCTAAGCGTCTGTCTACAGCATAACGTACTGGAAAGCTTTTAATTATTTAATATCGATTCAGAAATTAATAAAATCACGAAAAACGTTCACCGCAAGAGCGAGCCTTAGAACGGATATTCGATTATTTATTTATAGACTTTATACCATCACAATCTGTTTCTACCGAGCAGCTTTTCTCGTGGCTCTCTCACTACGGAACATTGGCGAAATATCTGTGCAAAACGGGGAAAGCCACAGACACAAAAAAAGTAGCATTGCGGGCTCTATTTCGCGAACGGTCAAATATATAATAATTAAAATAACATGCTTATCAACTTATATAACGGCCCAAGGAGCACAATTAGTACTTAAAACGATCTCAAGACTATTTTTATTTTCACTTATAAGAAACTTGTATCGCACTACAAAGCTTTATTTGGGCGCAGTTATAGGAGCGTTTATTTGTATTACTTTCTTAAATACAACTTATAAATTGTTCTAACCCCTATAATATAACAGACGAAATGCAATAGCTTCTACAATGATATAAACCTAAACTATTACACGCACATACGCTTTTGTTGGTATCTGACATAAGTCACTTACTAAATGATAATATATAGATTACTAGTGGCCCGCCCTCGCTTCGCTTCGGTGTAGAGCTGTAGTGTAGAATTCGAATTTTTCTCACCTTTTAAACCTTCCCTAGACCTCCACGAACATTTCAAGACCAAGATAAGATAAATCCGTTCAGTCGTTCTCGAGTTTTAGCGAGACTGCAACTGCAATTGATTTTTATATATATAGATAGATATATTAGACGACCTCTGCGGCCGATTGGTTTATACACCGGGTTTCATGGTATCGCCGACTCGAGAGGTCCCGGGTTCGAATCCCGCTACCTCTCCTCTCTCTCGTACTCCAGTCATGGATGTTTAATATGTATTTCTATATAAATATATGTACTTAAGTATTCTAGTCGTATTAGATATTAAAGAAGCTTGAGCAAGATTATAAATTGCACACACTTACTTGTTCTCTCACATGATTATTTACTCTTATTGCAAACAATTATCTAGGAGACTTATTCGTAAACATGATCAACTATAAGAGTGAGATATAATATCAACGCGCTTGGGTATGTAAAGACTTGACCAATGCTGTTATAAGTTAAAACTCTTAAAGCAATCTATACATATAATAAAATGGTAGGAAAGTCAAAACTGTACATTGAATATTTTTTTAAAAGAATAGGTACTTGAGGTGTGATCTACAATCGATACCGAAGCCGAAAATATAGTTTTTAGAATTTTTGTCCGTTTGTCTGTATGTATGTCCGGGATAAGCTCAAAAAGTACTACATGGATTTACTTCAAATTTGGCACGAATATTACTGAGAAGTCGGGTCAACATATAGGCTACATATTATCACGAAACTCCACCCTAAGGGGGTAATACGGGGGTTGGAAGTTTGTATGAAAGTCCAATGTTTTTGAAGTAAGAGACTTGAAATTTAACATGTATGCTCTATAGATGGTGTAGAGGTGTACTAATAATGTATCTTTAGAAATAAATCCCCTTTTGGAGTCAAAAAGTATGGGCAAATAACTAACTCCACGCTTACGAAGCCGCTAGCTAGTACCTTTAAAGTTATTAGAAGTGATAGACTTATTTTCTTTCATTATAGGATTCCTTTGTTTGGGGGTGGGGGTCCCAATACTTTAGAGCAAAAGGAAGCGAGATATTAGAGAAAATGATATTTTCGTTACTAACCCTTGATCTCGATATCTCAGCTGCCTTACCCTTATACTCAAACCTATTGTGACTTTTGACACTTCCAAACTCCCTATTCTACCCACAAGGAAGGCCTTTGCGTGCTCCAGCAGTGGGGACATTAATAGGCTGGTGATGAGGTCAAAAAGAATAGCTCTGTAAAGGACATTGCTCGTTCCCTAATGTACATTGAATGCCCTAGAACGCACAGCAATGAGAAAATGCTAGTTGTGTTCGGAATCATTCATAAACTCTAATTAGGCATTTGTTGAGATACGGACAACTTGAGGAACCGTGGCCTACTACAGAATGTATTAGATTTTGAGGTTATAATTATTATACTTAATCGTAAAAGATGTACACTTTATATACATATTCTGAATAGATTTAGTGTTTACCTCAATTGTTTTGAGTTAAATTAAATTAAATGAAACCTGTTTAAATAATATGCATTCAATGACCATAAAATGCAATTAATAATAAAAATAATAAATGCTTAGATTCATATTTATTTATGAGTGTTGGCAGTTGGCACCTATGATACCTATATCTACCTGTAGTAATAATAGACTTCTTTTCAAATGAAATGTTCGAAGTCTTTCCATTTACCTGTTTCTATATTTTACTATCGGTAATAAGGGTATGTACCTGGTTATCATTAGGATTTTCATAAAAATAAACAGATATTATACGGGATGGGAGTATAAACTATCTTTACATAATTTCAGAAATAATCTTTTTATAAATACTAGTAATAAGTATTATTAACTAGGTACCTAGTTCTATTTTTATGTTGATAAATACTATGGTCTATGGTCGCCTATATTAAAAAAATTAAAAGTTTGAGTCAGGTAACGTCACAGCGAAAAAATTAACGCAAAATAATACAAAAAAAACGTTTTTTTGTTAGAAGGCATCAGATATATTGATAAATGTGAACGCTACACATCACATCAGAGCCCGTCACAACACAAAACGACAGACAAAATTATCCGAGCTTTAAATTACAGGCAACGAAGAAATAGACATCGAATGTCCGACCGAGTGCGAGCTGAGAAAAGTGATGGTTTGCGGCAAATGCCAACACGGTGTCTACAGAACGTTCATGAGCCCGTGTCATATGAGGTTGTTCATGTGCAATAATACGGACGAATGTGAGTATGTATTGTTTTAAACTTTTATGGTCACTAACATTATAGTAATATAAGTTATTTACGGGATTGTTACCGTGTACCTTGTTTTTAGAGTTTCCGATATTTCGGCACAGTTGCAAGCGCCATGATCACGAAGTAAGTAACTCCTCCCCAGGTTCGAATCCCGGTGGGGGCAGATGTTTGTGTGATGAACACGAGCATTTGTACTCCAGTCATGGATGTTTATATGTATTTCTATATAAATATACTTATATATGTACAGTATATGTATTCTATCCTAGTATCCCATAACACAAGCCTTACAGTGCTTACTTTGGGGCTAGGCTAATTGGTGTGTGTTGGAAAAAAAAAGTTTTGAAAATCTTCCAATGAAATAACCGAACGCTCAATAATAAGTCTTTGGAAGGTAGCTCGACAAAGTAAATAAAAAATCATTATTCTGACGATGCAGACCTGAAAAGGCTGCGAAACGTCAATAAATAAATAAAGTTCGTGCATTAACCAGTTAAAACTAGTTTTATTGAATAAGTGATGTGCGTGAAAACCTAAGAAACAAATATAAAAGAACCAGCTTTTTTTTATGTGCGACAAATTCTTATAATTTGATTTATGACTGGCTTGATCAGAAGCCCTATGTGCACCGTCCGAAAAGTTTCATTACATTTTTTTTTAATGTGTTCAATCTTCAGCGATGGAACTCATGTCTCGATACCCGTGCGTACTATCGGCACCATTTGCGTCCGAGTTCCGAGGCAGCTTATCCGAACCGAGCGACTTTGACGAAGTACAGAGATTTATCTACTGCAGAGAAGCTATGGAAGACGGAACGAATATTGGTAAAAATAATATTGATCTATCGATTACCTACCTTTTTTAAAAATTGTAATGGCTTTAAGCCACAAATATACTTATCTGTCGTGTTGTGTCGTGACGTGACGCGTCCGAGAGGTATTAGTGTCGCCGTAAATGGGCCACACGCCACAGCCACAAACGTCGCCACGAGAAGCTAGAAGCGGCTACTAAAGTGGCTGAAGCGCGCGACAGCGGCCGTCTAAGGTAAGGGAGAGAGGGGTGGGGAATCGCGCGAGTGACGTGTGACGGCGTTTTGTATCGCCGCATTAAGTGGCCGGTGCGGGCCACAAGAAGCGAGCAACGACGATTTGTAGCGTGTGGCGGCCACCGGCGTACCGTGTGTGGCGAGTCCATATCAAATATATGAAAAAACTACAAGAAATATGCCGGTGGTGGCGTTTTGTGGTTGTGGTCGGTGGCCCGTGTGCGGCGACACTTAGGGTAAAACTGTACTTCCAGAACCCAAGGGGTGATACTTGTTTTCTTTTAATAAAGGTCTCTTAAAAAAAATGGTTGCCTGTAAAGTCGGTTTTACGGGCGAAGATTTTACGTGACAACGTCTTTTTCTCGGTAGAATATTTATTGATATGAATATAATTAAATTGCACAATAGGAACAATGAATTGAATGAAAATAAGAATTGCACAAATTTTAACTATAGAAATATATTTTGTTTACTAAAACATTGTACATGTAAACTTAAACTTAACACGAGAGACTCATCGTAACGTTACCGAGCGTTACACTTTTTCATAAGTGACTCCCAGCCGCAACCTAATTTAAGACGTTGTCACGTCAAAAATGTTTTTTCTGATCACAACACTAACCTAACCTAACCTAGTGTGAAGTATCACCACTTGGGCCCTGGAAGTATAGTTGAGCCGGTATTAGTACCCTTAGTACGAACCATTATCGAATTCGAATAGTTTTGCGAGTCAGAAATGTCATTGTCAAATGTTGCATGAAAACTTGAACATTAACGCCATAACGTACGTAACGAGAACTAAAAATCAGTATACATCTGACAAAGACATTTCGTACTCGCAAACTATTCGAATTTGATATTGGTTCGTGCTAGGGGTACAGTTTTCTACATTTGGTACGATTAGAATAGGGTATTTGACAGTATTAAAAATAAAATGCCATATGTTAGCATCTGTGTTTAGAATGAATATTGGCAAGGGGATTTTTACTATTTTTACAAAAAAATATTCATAGTTTTACTAAAAACCCACGAAAAAGATAATAGTTTTCTTATCTATTGTCACGTGACCCAAAACGCTTGGGATTGGTGGAGTCTAAAATGACGTCACATGTAAGTAAACTTCCGGTTAAAGTGACATTACATTGTATCGTTTGACGTTTTAATAATAGTCCTGTGACGTCACACACTAGTAAGACGCCATATTGTCCAGAGAAACGTTTTCGCGCCAACTTGAAAATGCGGTTTTTGATTTGGTTATTTTTACTGAAATACGCAATAGAATGATGAATATCCACTTTTTACGGACTTCATAAACATTTGGCAATCACGTGAGATCGTTTTCTAAAACTTGTCAAATACCCTAGTGTCGATGTTTCGAGATCGTACTCATCCTTGCTGTACTAAAAATGTATGAAATGAAACATATACCTCTGACGCGCGCGACTGTTAATAGATTTATTTTGTAACTAGCGGCCGCCCGCGACTTCGTACGCGTGGAGTTAGTTATTTGCCCATACTTTTTGACCCCAAAAGGGGGTTTATTTCTAAAGATACATTATTAGTACACCTCTACACCATCTATAGAGCATACATGTTAAATTTCAAGTCTCTTACTTCAAAAACATTGGACTTTCATACAAACTTCCAACCCCCGTATTAACCCCATAGGGGTGGAGTTTCGTGATAATATGCAGCCTATATGTTGACCCGACTTCTTAATAATATTCGTGCCAAAGAATTAAATGCCTGCAACATTTTTTGAGTTTATCCCGGACATACATACAGACAAACAGACAAAAATTCTAAAAACTATATTTTTGGCAATTGTAGATCACATCCCAAATATTCTTTAAAAAAAATATTCACTATACAGTTTTGACTTTCCTACCATTATAAAATATAAAAAAAACAATAAGCCTTTTATTAGATCTATACATATAATAAATAGATCTAATAAAAGGCTTATTGTTTTTTTTTCACACTCTGTTTACTAAGGAAGACCTGCAGTTATTCTGTAGTAAGAACAAATACACTTTATACCGCGGAATTCGCCGGTGTGATTTGAAATTAGCATTTTATGCAATACTAGTGGCCGCCCGCCCGCGACTTCTTTCGCGTTAACTTTTAGTTTTTTTTTCTAATATAAAAGTAGTCCAAGTTACTCCTTATTACATCAGCTACCTGCCAATAACAGTTCCGTCAAAATCGGTGCAGCCATTTCAGAGATTAGCCGGAACGAACAGACAGACAGACAAAAATTTAAAAAAATTTTTTTTGGTATATGTACCGTATATATATTCATATGCATGTAGTAAAAAGCGGTTATTTCAATATTACACACAGACACCTCAATTTTATTTATATGTATAGTGGTGTCGATTCTGACAGGATTCTCTAAACTTAACTAAATTTAAGATCAGTCTGCCCTTTTCATTCTGTATAGTGAATGACAGGGATACACTGTTGTCAAATTTAAGTTTAGCTTTAGAGAATTATGCCAGAATCGATACCAATATCTATATAAAAATCCGCGGTATGTTAATCTATTATAGATTAACATACCGCGGATTCCGAGGTGAAAAGTGAGTTTATTCTTACAGGATAGCACTGCAGACACCAAACAATTTAATAACCGTTGTTTATTGTACAGTTGACTCAAGGTGCGCAGATGTAAGAAACGAAAATTTTGAAGAACAACTTCAGCCTCGCGTATCTGATTAGTACCTACCTACACACAAATAAAATTTGATATAGACATTGTGATCTGGTATTATTTATTACCACAGAACACAGAAGGAGGTTAGAGCTGGTTCCCACTTGTCGGGTGTCGGATCTGTATATTACTCGGATATCGGTGCCTTTGTTCACACACACGTTTAATAATCGGTTGTCGGTCACGGTTGAAACTTTAACCAATTTAGGCACTCTACGTATACGTACGTTCACGCTGGACGTTGACGAAGTTCTTGTTGTGATGTTCCTATTATTATTTAAGAAAACAAAGAAAGAGAGCCATGGCATGTAAATATTGTGTGCACATATTCCTGAGGGAAGGATTTGATTTTGGGTAAATTTCAGAACTTAATAACAGAATTGCGAAGTGACGAAATTAAGTGTTTCAATTATTTTAGGACGTCAACATTCGACGATTTACTGACCCAAATATTGTAGTGTGCGTACTAGACATATGCACACACGCATCTCTCCCAATATATAAAGCATTGTAATACTAATAAATGCTCTCTTTAACGCAGTCAGTTGCTTTATTTAACGCCCCGAACCACCTACACTGCAATATTAATGAACATAAACTACCAAAGTATAGGATTTAGAGACTGCATTTGTAATGAAAAGGGGTTGCGTTACGGACGGAACAAGGGTTGCGGGGGAGGATAGTCAGCCCCGACATTCGACAAATATGAACAGCGCCGGTAGAAGTGAAATCTTGAATATTAACGTTGTGCATTTTTGATATTTTGAAATGCTTAGGGAATAATTTTGCACGAATTGCTTTAATTATCTGTATAAAAGTACTATCGTTTATGTGGTAGAATACAATATTTATTTATTGCGCTATCGTACACAAACATGCTGTGCCGCCTAAACGAAACAGCAGGCGCTGATACATTTTCACCGCGCTGTAGAAAGAGAGGGGGATACTTCCTCTCCTACACCGGCTGTCTACTCTCCATCCGTTTTTCGATCAGGTCACGTGTCCTGACGCGAGTTTAACATTTTTACCCATTATAAATAAAGTTAAAAACGCCGCTAAAGAAGTTTTCGTCTTACGAATTTTCGATCAGGCCACGTGTCCTGACGTCTTATGAATTTTTGAACAGGTCACGTGTCCTGACGCGAGTTTAACATTTTTTACCCATTACATAGAAGTGCACAACGCCGCTAAAGAAGTTTTCACTTCAAAAGAACTTTTTAGGCCATGAATATTCCATGCATTTTTGAAGTGAAAACTTCTTTAGCGGCGTTGTACACTTTTTCTGCGCGCACTCCCGGCACGGTAATATTATACTCCCGGAGTGCAACCCGTCTTTTTTTTTTATTTCTCCCTCAGGTTTTTTTTATTTTTACGCTTCGACAATAGCATCTGAACTCTTAGCTGTTGGATCATAGAATCGGCCGTTTATCTTCAACCTCTTTTGTTCAGACTTTTTCGTGAGTTGTGCCACTTGTTCCCGGTCGCTCAGCTGATCTGCGACTGCTTTGGCGCCATATTTCAAATTGTCGCCATCTTCGTCCGAAACGTTCTCTATGATGACATCATCTTCCGGGTGATAAGGATTATTGTAGGCCCTGGAATTATTGGATGCGACCGACTGGTTCCGTTTTTTGGTATAATTATTCGTAGTACAAGCATTCGATATACATAAAGAATCTGCAACACAATGTATTTATTAAATGTAAGGAATTATTATATTACTGAGAGCTATGAGAGTTATAGTCATTTGACGTGGCCGAGTGGTATATATTATGTCGCAGCCATTTAGTCAAATTACCCAGCTAATTCGACGCCTAGGCCATTCATTAAACGCCGACAACTTGAATCACTTCATGTTGAACGACTTGACGTGTCGTATTGAATAAAAAACGAGTGTGCTCATGACCACACGACTGAAGTGAAACTTCTTTATATAAGTTTATACTAACTGTCCCAGCGCACTTCGTACCGCCATAAAAAAATAGGGGTTGGTGGAAAAAGGGTGAAAATTTAGGGTTGTGTGTATTTTTTGTATGGTGTATCATAAAAAAATAAAAACAAAAAAAAAACTCCAAAAAAGAAATTAAAGTGTGGATCACCATAACAGACCAGGGTCGATAATTTTTGAGGCCAAAAAAAATTATAGTAGGATGAAACCCATTGGAAAAGGTAGAGATTATAACAAAAATCAAAGGAAATATAAATTACAGGCGATCTGTGGTCGGGAACCCCCTTCCCGAGGGGGTGAGATTTTAATGGAAAAAAACGGTTAATCTCGATTTCCGTTAAAATTGCAAGTCCTATGAAAAAAAAGGTAAAAACACAAAGATATAAAAAATAAAATAATAGATTTAAAATAATTCATTTTTTCACCTTATTTTGACTTAATATCGAAAAAGCACCCTAATTTTCAATCGAAAATTCTCGCTTCAAAATATCTGCTTTTTTAAAAAGTTGGGGTGTTTTTTTGTTTGTTAAAATCTTTACTTTCTGATGATATAAAAAAAAAATATACACTACTATGGTAAATGTTCTCAGAAACTGCAAATTAATAATGAAAAAAACTCGAATCCTAAAATTATTTTGAGCTATTTATTAAAATTTACACTTTAATTACTCGAAAAACGTAATATTTCATGTTTCACTTCAAAAAGCCTGTTGGAAATGACTGACAATGACTCGGCCAAGTGATTCAACTTTAGTTCATTTTTTCCTACTGTAGCGCTAGTAGTCATCAAGACAAGGGTATCAACAGCGCAGCTCAGTGAATTAAATTCGTACGCGGTGCATTATAAATGAAAATAAGGGAGGTATTGTGAAACTCATATAAAACCATAGAGATGGTAAATAATACAACGAGTTTTTTATGGTGTTTTTACTAGAAATTTGAGTCGAGTTTCAACATCAAGGTTGGTTTACTAAATCATGCGTTTTATTTACTTTGTAGGTAATTACTTTGTTTCGCGTTATTGTAAAAATGACGCAAATTAAAGCAGTGTTATTTATTTTACGATCTCAAAGAAAACTATGGACTACCGAAAGAGTTTAGAGGATATGAACAATATTCGACAAGCATTCTTTCCCAGTGGGCACTTTGGGCAAGTGCCCAGGGCCCCGCTATCGATAGGGGCCCACCTAGTTCCTGTTAGATCACCAAACGGGGGTCATAGGGGCCCCATTATCCGAATATGCCCAGGGCCTCCAATAGGTCAAAGACGGCACTGTCAACAAGCTAGGGTGACCAGTCCCCGTAGCATGAGTATCACAATTTACATTATATCACGTTTTTTATCGCGTCTAACTGCCAAATCCCATAGTAGTATAGTATATTTGATAACGAGCGTGATAAAAACAAGTTTATATATCATATCGCGGTAATCATGCTGAGGGGGCTGGATATCCAACTATCCCAAGACGCCTATGGAATATTACGGGTTATTGAACCTATTGATATCCTTGATTTGCCTCCTCATAAATTTAAAATACACATAAAGAATTGTTTACTTAAGAAAGGATATTATACTGTCAATCAATATTTGAATGATTTAACGGCTTGGTTGTAATTTTACCTGTAGATAATTTTTCAAAAGTTATATTAAAACTAAGGCTCCCAGCCTTAAAAAGAGTTTTGAAGAGAACCTTGCACTTACTCCCTTTCATATACTTGTTCAGTTTGTTTTGAAAATTGTTTCTTGCTATTTTGGGACTTTTCTTTGCATTTATTGTTAGTAAATTCGTTGATTGTCTATTGTTACATATTTGACATTATGTGATGGAAGTTGACCTCAACACATGTTTGCAAGTTTGATGTCAACTTTCAATTGGACGAAATATCCCTGTTTTATACAGGGAGAAAAAAGTAGCCCTTGCTGAGTTTCTTACCGGTTCTTCTCAGTACAAGGTCTCCCGCCGTAGATTTGCGAACCGATGGCGTAGCTTTTCGACATTAACAAGTGCTTGTAACAGCCTAGACTGAATAAACGATATTGAATTTTGTTTTTTTTTTTAATTTTGAACACCTATTCCGTTTTTGCATGCCTCGTCCACAATTGACTGATAAAAAACTAAAGTACCATAAAATACTTACAAACAAAAACATATAAAAGATATGGCATCATCACAAACATACATCAAAACGTATTTATGTAACACATTTCTTGGTATCGCGGGAAAATTTCGAGTAATGCCATTTCTCTACCAAATTATGGCTTGCGCACTATACAATAAAAAGAATTGAAATAACACAAAATCAAATCTTGTGTAACTTCTAGTGGCTGATCGACCGTTGCGTCACAAATAAATGAGAATTATATCGATCATAACTTTACTGGGTAAGCTGTTACCAATATTAAAATAAATGCTGCTTTTAAACTATTTGTATAGGTAAATAGTGTACTAGTTTTCCATACAATCTTCTATTCCCCTTTTCATTTTAAGGATGAATTCTTGGATAAAATAATTATTAAAATCCTATGTCCTTTCTCGGGACTTAAAACTATCCCTGAACTTTCATCTCGGGTCGGTGCCATCAACCACGGTTGTCCCGTTCCGTTAACGGGACAAATGGGAAAAAATGTTCCATCGACTCTGGTAGCTGCAACCCCGTCATTTAACAGGGTGAATGGCACAGATCAGGGGTATATTCCGAAATATACATCAGTATACTGGCCAGTGGTAATGACGTCACGAATCCGACGCCATATTGTACTGATAAGCTACCATTTTTTACCGGGAAAACGAATATGACGTATGACCGAGCGTGAGATGCATTCGAATTTTATTTCTTTTTTATTTAAAGACCAATAATAGCATCCGAACAAAAAGAATTCCTTTTAATTGATGAGGTGAGTAAAAAATCTTCTTTATTCGCACTATTATCTTAGATTAAAACAAAAAGGGTAGATACGGCACTAGCCTCACAAAAGTGATCCGCACAAATTGTGGTCCACGACCCTAATCGCTTTAGTCACAACTTGACATGCAAACGACGTACATGTAAACGCCAAAA